GCGAACTGTGACTCCTCGGCCCCAGCTGCCTCTGGGGAACATAAGGTCCTTGAACAGCTGGAAGTATGTCTGAAGCACGCAAGTCGTACCTCATCTCCTTGGTTCATCTGGGGGGTTCTTTTGTTTCTGTGGGTGAGGAACAATGTGAACTCCACCCATCAGCTCAGGGGACTCCCCCCACCTCTGACCTTTGGCTGCCCTTCCTGCGTGTCACCTTTAGTACTTCGATGGCACTTCCTACAGCCTACCCAACTCGACAGTAACTGTGACCTCCTCTTATTTTCCTACTCGATTGTAAGCTCCCACAGGCAGGCACTCGCCTCATTCGCCTTGTATCTGAGCACTTAGCACAGTGTCTGGAACATGAAAGGGGCTCCATAAATGTTTATGGGACAGAAATAAAGTCAGTGGAACAATCTAGTGTTCTGAGAACCAAAACTACTGTTTGCCACAGAAGGGGTCAAGCTTTAAGGGTAAAATCCACTTATGAGACCTAACTAGGGTCTGTTCAGTAGCCAACATCCGCCTAGAATTATTTCTTAATGCTGTCTTGTTTGTGTGTGTATATTAACAAGACATGATAACCACAATGAAACATCACTTCCCAATCACTAGGATGGCTATCATCCAACAGGCTGATAATAGCAAGTGGTGGCGAGGATGTGGAGAGATTAGAACCCTCATACATTGCTGCTGGGATTGCAAAATGGTGCAGCCATGGTGGACAAGCTTGGCAGATCCTCAAAAAGTTAAACACTGAGTTGCCATAAGAACTAGAAACTTCACTCCGGGCATATACCCAAGAGAGATGAAAACTTGTCCACACAAAAGCGTACATGTGCATGTTCAGAGAACATTATTCATAACTAGAGGCCCGATGCACAAAGATTCATGCAAGACTAAGCCTTCCCCTGGCTGCTGGCACTGGCTTCCTCCGGCACCTGAGACCCAGGCCTTCGCTCTGGCTGCCGCCTTCACTCTGGCCCTGCTGCCCTCCTGTAGCTCTCTCTACACACCCCCCCCCCCCCACACACACACACACATATACATACTCCTCTCTCATAGCAGCCGTCCCACCCTGCCCTGGCTGGGTGATGTGGGGCAAAGTTATGTGAGCTGTGAAGGGCAACAGAGAGGAAAGCCTGAGATCTCGACCCAGCCTTTCATTGCTCTGTCCCTGCAGAGGTTCAAACACTCAGCCAGTGCTAATCAGGGACGATTTGGAAATGTGTGGTGGGTGGATTGGAGGGTGTCTGGTTATCATAGTAGAGGGGGGCACTTCTGGCCCTGAGTGTACCCTCCATGGTGACAACACAAGCATCCTGGCCCGGCTGCCAACATCTTTGTTGCATCAATTTGCATATTCCCTCCTTATTGGCTGTGGGCACCACCATCTTTGTAATGGAGTGATGATCAATTTGCATATTCCATCTTTATTAGGTAGGATAGCCCCAAAATGGAAGCAACCCAAATGCCCATTAAACTGTGGTATATCCATATAATGACATGTCATTCCACCCTACGAAGGGTCTAAGCACTGAAGCAGGCAACAGCATGGATGGACCTTGGACACATGCTGAGTGAAAGAAGGCAGACACGAAAAACCACATATTGTAAAATGCCACCTGCATGAAACTTCCAGAAGAGGCACATTCAGAAGCTGGAAGTTATTAGTGGTTCCGGGCCTAGGGAAGGGGAGGAGGGAACTAACTGCAGAGAGGTGTGGGGTTCCTTTCTCCATAGTGGGACGTTCTGGAATTTTAGTGCAGATGTGCAGGTGGACCATGCAAGGCAGAAGGTCCATCACAGCAGGTCCCTGCCCTCTCAAGGCCAGAAGTGCCCCCTTTACTATGACAACCAGACACCCTCTAACCCACCCACCACACATTTCCAAATCGTCCCTGATCAGTACTGGCTGAGTGTTTGAACCTCTGCAGGGACAGAGCAATGAAAGGCTGGGTCGAGATCTCAGGCTTCCCTCTCTGTTGCCCTCACAGCCCACATGACTTTGCCCCACATCTTTGGGGTTTTGCTGAGCCAAGTCCAAAGTTCCGGAAGCTTTTCACTTCTCCAGGAAAGGGAAGAAGTCCAGTTTTAGGCACAAAACAGCTTGCCATCTCTCTAGGAGGATACACCACGGTGGGAAGAAATCGCTCCCCAGAAAGAACATGGGTCCACCAATCCTACCATCACAGGTACCCACAGGCACTGACCAAAAAGAAACAGCCATCGGTGGGAAAGGGAATGAGATCAAGGTCCCGGCACAATGAGGGATCAAGGATTTCAAGGTGTTACATACAGACACACACGTGTTCACACTCATGCTTAACCAGTTAATTAAAAAAAAACAAAACTCATTTACAATAGCTAAGATTTGGAAACAACCTAAGTGCCCGTCAGCAGATGAGTGTATTAAAAAACGGTGATACATCTACACAGTGGAATACTACGCTGCTATAAAAAAGGAATGTTTACCATTTGCAACAGCATGGATGAGAGCATTATGCTAAGTGAAATACACCAATCAGAAAAAGATAAATATCACATCATCTCACTCATATGTGGGATATAATGATCAACATAATTTGATGAACAAAAATAGATCCAGAGACAGAGGAAAGGGGAGGAGGGGGTGGTGGTTAGAGAGCATATTAGCATAACCAATGGACACAGACACTGGGGCAGTAGGGGCTTGCCCAGGGTGGGAATGGTTGTGGGAGAGGGGGGTGTCCATCGGGGGGGAAAGGAGACAAATGTAAAACTTTAGACAATAAAAAAATAAATAAATAAAAACCTCTTCAACATATTTAAATTTGTCTAAAACCCAGTAGTGATTTGACTTCATAGTGCTCACTCCTAATTCAGTATTATTCCGTGTTTCCTTCCCTTAAAACACTGCTTCCAACCTCCAGCTTTCACAGCAATTTGATGGCAGACAAGCCCGCGGATCACCATCTTCTCCCTGTTCTCAGGGAGGGAGCTGTCGGTGAAATTCCAGGTGGGTTTGCCAGCTGCCCACCCAAGGCTAAGTTCACACGTTTCCCAGCTTCAATACACAGTCTACAGGCTCTGAAAACAAGCACACAAGCTTTGCTGGGAGTGATGGGACCTGTGAGGTGAGAAATGAACCCTAAATCTCTCACCCTCCCCTCTCACAGGGATATCCTTATTGGTTATATTAGAATTTGTTATGGCTTTGCCACTAACGTAAGCATACACACACAAAAACACACACACACACACAAAAAAACACGATGACCTGCAATAGACTGGATGACACCATTCTTTTTATTTGGCAATAAATTCAGTATCTGGTAACAGAAGATCAACATTCAGAATAAATAGCAAATTCACATTCAGAATAAATATTATAGCAGGGGGACCTAGTTTGCATTGACTGTGCCTGCGATCGTACAGGCACCGTCAGTCATTCTACCGCATGATTAGAAAACAGGCCCCGACATCAGATTCAAGCCACGGAGCCGAGAGAGTGCAGAGGGCCGCCGAGGGCGGGCTCCCCGCTGAGACAGAGGTTCACGTGCAGGGAGTTCACAGGGTGTGCTCTGGGGCCCACACCTGGGGAGGGGAGGGAGGTGAAGGAAGGGAGTTGCTCAGAGGAGGGGTGTGACCTCGCCCATCCGAGACGGGGCTCCTTGGCAGGGCCCACAGCCGCTGAACACCCAGCGGTTGGGGGACTCGGACCCCAAGGGTTACATGGGAAGCCATGACCACCACAATCAGAGGTATAGTCAACTCATGCTAGTGCCCGAGCCCAGCAGCTGTTACACACCAGATGCCGTGCTGGGAACACAGGATGTCACCACTGGCCACAGGAGTGCATATGCCCCGAGCCAGCTCCTTGAGGACAGAGCACGCTCTCCTGCTGCCTGTTCCACTGCCAGGCTGTTCGTCTGCACGCTTTCTTCGTGACAGGAGGGCTTGCCAACTGCGGCCCGAGGGCCCACGGCAGCCTGCGGCTGGTTTATAAACCACGTCGTAAGAGGACAGAGCTGCGTCCATGCCTGGAGTGGTGGCAACGGAAAATGGCCCGCGAAGCTGAAAATCTGTTTGCTGAGCCCGCATTAAAGAATCTTCACTCCCTTTCCTTCCCTAACCCACTAGGGTGTCGGAGGTTAGCTGGCCTTGGAGCGAGGCTCCCAAAAGCTAAGGAAAATAGAAGACGAAAGAAGGAAATTGGTGCACAGGGAAACTGGTAAGAGGGAAGAGCACACGCTCCCCGGGAGCTGAACAGGGCCGTCGGGGGAACGCTGCCTCTGGCCACATTCGGTCTCAGAGCATTCTAGACATAGACAAGGGCTCCCCACGTGTCTTTGGCAGCCAACGAGCACTGGGGAGAGAGGAACTCAATGCTACACTGAGCACAGCTCTCCACTGCATCAAGGGCCTTCGGGGAGGAAGAGGGAGGAAAAGCCATTTAGTTCATCCAAAGCTAAATTAGTGGGAGGAAAGATTACTTTCCGTTTCTCCTCCGAAATAATGAAGAAGGCCGAGGCAGTCAAAGCAGCTAGTAATTTAATCTGAGCTGGGCCTGGTCAGTAACAGGTGGTTTCTGTTAGGCGGCACTAATGGCCACAGCAGGGAATGCAGCTGAAGAGCGAGAGCGAGAGCCAGAGCCAGAGCCAGAGCCAGAGCCAGAGCTGGGAGCTCTGAGCCAAGCTCCTAAAATACTTTAAAAACAAAAGCTAGGTTTCCTTACAGAAGCAATTCTGGAAAAGCAGCGGTGCAGGTCCCCTCCAAGGCGACCTGCTGCGGGTCCCACGCGCCCGCGTTCAGCCGGCGTGGACCGCCCCTGGACTACGAATGTGTGTGCACCTCCTTCTTAGAAAGTCCGTCTAACCCATGCTACGCGGGAGAATATGTCTTAAACGTGCAAACTAATTTTATTCTGTTGGCTTTCCAAATGGCTGCTTTTGAAGGGTGGAAAACAGACCCACCTCCCTTGGACCAACAGGCTTTCACCAGGGCGAGCCCCGGAGAACAAAAGGGAAAGAACAGAATGCCCCGTGCAGTGTGCCCAGGCCCGGCTGAGTCATGAGCACAGACCAGGAGGCTGCCCGCTCCTTCACGTGGCACCACCGCCCTCCCCCTGCTGCTGGCCCGGGAACCACGGGTCTGCCAGGCATACGCGAGGGGGCCCCGCTGAGAAACATGCCAGGCCTCTGGCACCGGGTGGATCTCAGCACGGCCATGTTCGATGGCGCACAGACCGAAACCTTAATTGGTAATACACTGTGAAATTCGTAATTCACACCCAGCGAATGTGTTTCTCCCCTGAGGTGTGGCTCACCCAGCCTAGACAGCCACGAAAGCAGGATTTCAAACAGGTCTACTGCCGAAACCGGTTTGGCTCAGTGGATAGAGCATCAGCCTGCGGACTGAAAGGTCCCAGGTTCGATTCCGGTCAAGGGCATGTACCTTGGTTGCGGGCACATCCCCATTGGGGGGCGTGCAAGAGGCAGCTGATCGATGACTCTATCGATGTTTCTAACTCTCTCTCTCTTCCTCTCTATAAAAAATCAATAAAATATATTTAAAACAGGTCTACTTCATTCTTGAGTAAAACAAACACCCTGTGACTGGCACTACAAGACAGCCAATGAACACCGGATTAAATAGACACCAAGAGATTTTTAAAAACAGGAGTAACTACATCCTCACTCAGCTTCCCCGAAGTGAAGCCGGCAGCACCAGCGTGTCCTTGGAGGCCTCAACACCAAGCAGCTCCGGGCCTCCACCCCCTAAATGCCAGTCAACTCTGATGCTCAGAGCACCTAGGAGCTAACAAACAGTAAACAGAAGGCCTACCCCACCCCCAGAAAGTAACGGACCACTGTGTGTATAATAAAATTTAGCAGGAGAAGGGGGCCTAGCCGATGGGGCCTCTTGGGTCTACGGGGTCACCGTCACTATCCTAGTTAAATACAAGGAAATGCCAGAGTAAAATCCCACCGTAACAGCAGCACTGCAAAGCACGCTCCAGAACGCATGTGCGCCTGCATGCTGGCAGGCGGCGGTGGCATGCCAAGCTAGCCTGTGGTCAATGGCCGGGTCTGCCAGTCACTGCCATAAAAACACTGCTAGCAAGCCCCTCCCTGCACCTGCCACACATCAGGTTTAAAACGTATGTCCCGGGCGCTGTCCTTACAAAGACGTGAGAAATACTCGGTTACCTAAGTCATTTCTAGCCCCTTTTCTCTTAGTTTCAATACCCTTTATGCTCCCCCATCTTAAATACAGACACCTAAAGAAAAACACCCCCGAGTCCCACAACAGCCCACGCATGTATGCACACACGCACGGCAGGAAAGGAAGCAAGCTAAGGGGAGCAGAGGGTGGGAGCCAGCCAGGCGGTGAGGCCTCCGCCCCCTCCCCTGCTGGACGCAAGTCCCCTCCTCCCCGATAATCCAGGGGGAGGCAGCGTGTCTGTTGCCTCCAGAAAGGGACAGTTTCTGACAATGCCTACATTTTAGCAACACAGCCCAGGGAGGGGACCGGCGTTTCACTGCAGGGACTTTTTTTTTTTTTTCTGTTCTGTTTTTCTGTCCTCCAGTGAGCACGTCCAGCCAACACTCAGGGGTCGTTTTCAGGGGGCCCATCCCCAAGCGTTGGCTCTGGGCGCTTGTTGCTCACAGCCTCGTCCCAGGCTGTTCTGCCGGCTGGACGTGTGACCAGGCGCCTTTCTCTCCTTCGAGGAAACGAGCGACCCCCATCACCCGTGGCCTCTGTCCTTCCCCAGGACGGGCTGGCGCACAGGAAGCGGAGACGGAGGACAATCCAGGGCGAAGGACTTGCATCTCCCCTTGTTCTTTCTCTTTTTTTTTTCCAACGGATGCACCGGAACGCCGAAGCCCTGGGACCAAAGGGCTGGGGGACCCCGCTGTTGGGGGGTCCCCTCTGCCACATATGCTGCTACAGAGCCCACTACACCATCTGCTTTCGGGGAGCAGTGTCGCTGCACACCACACACCCTTCAATCCCGATGCACCCTGGGAACACTCCCTGTTTTCCAGGGAAGAGGCCGGAGTTTCTCCTGCTGGAATACGGAGATGGCATCGGAAGTCTCCCCAGGAAAACCGACACCAGTGACAGCACCTGGGTCAACGAGAGGGCCGATCACCGTTTCCCCGTGAAGCCTGTCACTTTAGCCCGGGGTGACACGCTGGTCAGCCACCCGGGGAGCAGCCTCCGGAAGGTCCGAAGTAAATACCAAGAGGCGATTCCGTGTCTTTTCTGAAAGCAACGCTCGTAGGCACGCGAGGCCAGCCCCCCGGTGTCCCCCGGGGCCGGGCCGGGCTGCCGGCCTTGTCCGCGGGCGGGCGGGCGGGCGGGCGCGGTCACTTGGCCTGGGCCGCCTGCAGGAGGGGCAGCCTGCAGGGGGGGGGGGCCGGCCGACCAGGCGGGGAGCTCGTGCTGCAGCGGAGTCCTCCTGGGGTAGAAGGTGTGGCTGACGTCGTAGGTGAGCAGGCAGCTCAGGGACGCCATGTAGATGTCGGCAAACCGCGACAGGCGCCGCAGGAAGTAGGTGGGGTTCTGGTCTGTGCGGAACAGGCTCCCGAAGTGGGCGTTGAAGAAGCTCTTGTTCATTTCTCTGAAGGAGCAAGAAGAGAGGGCAGACAGTGACTCAGAAGAGGTTCAGGTGACTGAAACCAAAATCACCCTTCCACAGGACTCATTTGGGAGGAAATCCGTCTGTCCACCCGTCCACCCGAAGGACGACCACGCCTCCCCCTGGGACCCCGGGAGCACTGGCTGAGACTCCAGGGTCCCTGTGCCTGCCCCTCTATACCTTCACACCACTCTCACAGACAGAAGGAGAAAAGCAGGAACTGCTTCTGAAGCTACACACAGAGATGTGGAATGTTCCAGTCTCCAAAAGGCCCTCATCTATAGAATGGGATCAAGACCCTCCCCCCTTTTTACAAGGTGACAGCAAAAACTGGGTCAGATAAGAAAAACAGCCCTAGCCGGTTTGGCTCAGTGGATAGAGTCATCCTGCAGACCAAAGGGACCCGGGTTCAATTCCAGTCAAGGGCATGTGCCTGGGCTGCAGGCTCCAGGAGAGGGCCTGCAGGAGGCAGCTAATCAATGATTCTCTCTCATCATGGATGTGTCTTTCTCTCTCTCCCTTTCCTTTCCTCTCTGGAAGCAATAAAAACATATATCTATTTTTTTTTTTAATCTCATTGAGATGTAAAGTTGTTAGAAGCTCGAAATCAAAGCAAAAATTTCTGACAGATGAAATGGTTCCTTTATCTAATAATCAGGTCCCTGGAGTGCAGGGGACGAGGGGCCCAGGATCAAATCTCAGTACTTGCCCGTCACCCTCTCACCCAACATTCCCCCCCAGTGTTGGAGTGACCATTAAATTCAAATACGCCGAGCCCCTGAGAGTGATGAGTCAGGGCACCCAGGCTTCTGCAGCCCGAGGGAGGGGCTTCGGCCCTCTCCGTGCCCCGGCGGGGCCTGCTCCTTCCAGGGCAGGGACGGCCACGCACAGAGCAGACGTGAGCCTGTAACCAGTGTCCACACAACACATCCTCTCAGGGACGCACAGCCTCCTCAATAACCATTCCCTTAAGACGCACACCCGCCACACTTTTCCGGGAGCAGTGGGCATTCACCAGACAACACAGCCACACTGAGTGCGGGCACATTCCGGAAACAGCTGTGGTAACGGTGAGCGCCAGGGCTGGACCGGCCCCAGGAATTCACTGTGGTGCAGGGCCTGCCTCCAACACTGTCCCGGGAGCCACGTGGTGCAGCCAGCATCACCAACAGGGCCATCCCCCTCACCCCCACCCCCACCCCCAGGCTGCCCACATGGGGAAGCCAAGCAGGCGGGTTGGCAAGGCAGGCTCCTCCTCCCCGGCCTTCACATCACATGCGCCTGGCAGGGAATGTGGAATCAAGATACGTAATATGTCTGTTTCGGGGAGAGACGTGAGAGCACGTTTGTTCGGTTTTAAAAAAAGAAACAAACAAATGCAAGGGCAGGAGGTGAGTGCGGGAGGTCACTGCTGTCACGCATCACTCTCAGACAGCGGAGGGGTGGGTGGCTCCGGTCATGCCTGGGAGCTAAAACGGGCGTCTGGAAGCCTGCCCGGGCCAGGGGTGTGCGTGGCAGGGTGGCGGACGCCCTATGTTCGGGACGGGGTGCTCTTACCTCATCTCCTTCCTCTCCCTTTTCCACTCCTCCAGAACCAGCTGGGACTCCGCATCCCTGTGCACCTGCAGGGCACACGCCAATTACTGAGAATGTTCTGGATGCCAGTAAACGCAGTAGGTAATAAGAATTTCTAATGGGCAGCTTCCCTCGTGGACAAATGTTACTCAAATCTGAGAGAGGGGCACTTGCATGAAGTCATACATTTTCAGACTCCCCACCTGCAACCATCCCTTCTTCACCAAAATGATTTGAATGGCCAACAACAGAAACCTGGTTTAACAAAGGAAACTGGATATTATGAAGATATTAAGCAAGGCCTCTATTAAAGTAGATAGTGTTGTTAAAAGCTATGTATAAACATGTGCATATATCTACATAAAGTCTATGTGTATACTGTATATATGTGTACATTGTATATATGTGTATAGTGTATATATGTGTATACTGTATATATGTGTAATGTAGTCATTACACATGTTATTTTTTTTAATCCTCCCCCAAGGATATATTTTCCATTGATTTTTTTTTTTTTTTTTTTTTTTTTTTTAGAGAAAGTGAAGGGAAGGGAGGATGGGGAGAGAAACACCAATGTGAGACACATCAATTGGTTGCCTGCCACACATACCCCAACCAGGGCCAAGGATCAGTCTGCAATCAAGGTACATGCTCTTGACTGGGAATTGAACCCATGACCCTTCAGTCTGCAGGCTGACGGTCTAAATACTGTGCCAAAACCAGCCAGGGCCATTACACATATGTATTTCCTGTATGAACATATACTTAATACATACCACCTACCACATGATGTATATATTATGCATACACATCAACATAAAAATGGCAGGTAAGTGGAAATAACAGGTACACCACTAATTGGAAGCACCTGAAAATATGTGCACATACTAAGAAATTAACATAAACTATTTTCTTTAATTGACGCAAGGGCAGTAGAATTATAATTTGTTCTACGCTGCTGTCTTCCTTAACACTGTATTATCTTTTAAAATATCGAAAGGAAAAAATGTTTTTGTAAAAGGCAAAAAGATAAAGTACACCTCAACCAGATGGAAAAGCAGAGAATTCTCTGCTTGAGCTGAAACAGAAGCAAAGGGCAACTGCCCACGACCTAACAATGGAACCTCACACGCCTCCCTGCGAGGCTCCTGTGGCCGGACAGGAGCGCTCAGCCAGAGTCAGAGCGCGTGTGACCGCAGGGGACAGGCGGCTCCCTGCCCTTCCCAGTCACGGGGCAGCCTCGGGGCCCGGAGGAAAAGACCAAACAGACCATCTGCTTCTGACGCGGGAGCCAAGGCCCTTCTGTTTACCACGTCTGCCCCGCTCACCAGCTCGGCCAGCAGGCACCCGCTCAGGGTCTCTGCCACTCGGAGGACAACCCTGAGCTTGCAATTTGGGTTTCTTGCCCAACACCACTGCCCACACCAGCAGGAAGCAGCTACGCTGGATGACCACTGGCCGTATCACTGGAGACCGGAAAGCTAGCCCGGCACTTCTGGGGATGTTGATGGTTTTGTGAGCATAGTTTTGATTAGCTTTCACATTTTAATTAACAAATTAATCACTATAATAGAATTTAAACTCTACAATGTATGTGACTAGATAAAAAAATCTGTAGAGGGTCACAAGTAATTTATTTAGACTAGGGGTGTCGAACTCAATCAGAGAAGGGGCCAAAATCTAAAATCCAGCCTAAATCGCGGGCCGAATGGTTTACTGAACAGTCATAAACTGTCATTGTGATGGAAACGCAGCGGAGTGCAGTGATGACAGCGCGGTGCGGGCCACATTGCAAGGCCTGGCGGGACGGATTTGGCCCGCGGGCCTTGTGTTTGACACATGTGATTTAGACATATCCATATACTAAAGGCCTAGTGCATGAAAACTCATGCACTGGATGGGGGTGGTCCCTCAGCCCGGCCTGCCCCCTCTCACAGTCCAGGAACCCTCAGGGGCAGGAGGTGACCTGGTGATCAGGGAAAAGTGATGCCCCCATCACACCTCTGCTGCTGCCACTGCTGGCAGTGCAAGCCTCAGCCCAGCCCTGGTAACCTGTGCCTTCGGCAGCCCTGGGCGGCTGGGCAGCTGCCATCCAAGGCTTGCCTGTGCCTCAGGCTGGCCCTGGGCAGCTGGGGGACTGAGGGGACTGGGGGACTCCAGAGGCAGGCAGGCCCGGCCTTGCGGTGGGGCTGAGGGCACTGGGCACAGCCATCTTGTGGCAGTGGGCGACACCATCATTGAGGGCGGGGCAATTAGCATATTTCCTCCTTATTGGCTGTGGGCGCCACCATCTTTGAGGGTGGGGCAGTCAATTAGCATATTCCCTCTTTATTAGATAGGATACATATATACACATGCATATATTATATATGTACATATATGTATAAGTGCACATGCATATTACCGTAACCAGACTTGAGGCTACATTAATCTAGAATCAATGCCTTTTATTTTTAGAAAACCATCTCACAGACAAGCACGGGCAGGAAACAGAATGAGTCCTTGTCTGAGAACCAATGGAGCTGGAGCACGTGGACGCAGGACCGGGCAGTGCAGGCCACATGCTCTGCAATGCGGGCACCCCGGAGTGAGGGCCTGGCCTGCCAACCCCTCGCAGCTCTGCCTGAGCTCACACAGGCTGCCAGCTGGGCCAGGCAAGACAGTTCCCGGCCATTTCCAAAGCGGCTGGCAGGCCGCGGGCAGAGGCTGCAGGTGCGTTAGCCAAGAGAGCGGGCACCCGTGCCTCTGATCCTGAAAGAGTCGGCCCTCACGCTGAGAGGGCTGAAGGCCTGGCCGGCAGAACCAAGCGAGAAAGCAAGGTGCCTCATGAGCTTGGAGAAGGGAGGGGCGTCTTCCCAGGCCAGGAAATGACCACGAAAAACAACAAAACTGAGTATGTGACTTATGGGAAGAAAAAAACCACCGCTGCTCTCTAGTGAGCCAGCCAGTTGTAGGTATTATCTTCAAAAGCAAGAGGAAACTGCACTTTTGCTTTGAGACGCTCCAGTAAGCTGTGGTGCCTTGCCTGAGTGTTCATTTCACAGGACCTTTCATTTTACAGAAAGGGAAACTGAGGCCCAGACGGAGAAGACCACTGCAGGCTCATGGCAGAAGCAGGACTAGACCCAAAAGAAGGCAGAGGCTCTCGAATCCCACCCCCACAGGACATCTCCCAAAGAGGCTGTGGTGGGAGTGAGGCCACTGGAATTCCAGACAGAGGAACGTAAGTGGCCTTTTTCTCCAAATGGCTTTGGGGATGTTGAGAAAGATCTGTTCGGGGAAACTGGCAAAACTCTTAGGGGCAAAATAATGCCAGTAATTATTCTGCAGGATGACTTACGCCTCACACTTTATAACCACAATTAAATAGAGAATGTCTAAAGAAACACTGGCCAGCGCACTAACTTCAGGCTTCCCGAAAAAGGAGGAGAGAAAGAAATCTCAAACCTGCATTCGCTCCAGTAGCCCAGTCAGTGTCTGCAGCCAGGTCATGGTCTGGATGTACTGCTCCGTGTTCATGATTCTGAGCTCGGACCGTAATTCCGGGATGATGGCGCCAGTCCGCCAGCCATGCTTCAGGGTCAAGTCCTGCTCGCAAAGATCACAGAGAGTCAACGTTCATCTCAACGGACCTCCAGTCATTGCGTGACTGTCCCAGACACAACAGGTACTCACTGAACATTACTTTTTAATTGTAATGGTTAGTTATTAACCAAGCCGAATTCAATAGATTACATGCCATTCAACCCAAGTTAGCCTACGGCTTTGGTCATTACACCCCAAGAAAATTTCTGTTCTGGAAATAACTGCTGTAAGTCACAGCCTGTGCAGGCACTAAGAGTCTAGGATCATTATCCATGGCCTGTAAAACCACAATTAGGTCAGGAGCCTCGCACGTCATGGGGAACCGGGGAATATCGGACTTAGAATGATCACACAACCTACACACACATGATCACGGTTTTCATTCAAATATCATGAGCCTATGAGCTGACAACAGGCCAAGCGACCTGATGTCAGTGATGTCCCAGCAAACCTAAGATACGCAATCGCTGTGCTAAAAGGTCATTTGTGTTCTCCTTTGGCAAATATTTATCAGGGACTATGTGCCAGGCCCAGTTCTACAAACTGAGGCTGACACAATGAACAAAAACTGACACATCCCTGCCCTTGTGGGAAATACCAATGACAAATCAGCAAGTGAATGTGCAATGCCAAGTGGCCTTAGTAAGTTCTGAAAGGCTGAAATTGTAAACAAGCATCTTTTCTGCTCAGAAGGAATGAAACTAGAACTGACAGCAGGAGAAAGAACTGGAAAATTCACAACTAGGTGGAAACTGAACAACCCTCTTAATCAATGGGTCAAAGAAGAGATCATAAGGGAGATGAGAAAATACCTGGAGGCAAATCAAAGTGCAAACACCCAGACCTACGATGCTGCAAAAGCCATGCTGAGGGTGAGATCTACAGCTGTAAACACAGACATTAAACACAGACATCAAGTTACCTAGCTTTATATCTTAGGGAACTAAAAGAAGTAAACTAAAAGTTAGCAGAAGAAAAAAATAAAGATTAGATCAGAGATAGAAAATGGGGGGCGGGGGGAGAGAATCAACAAAACCAAGAGTTGGTTCTTCAAAAAGATCAACAGACTTGACAAATCTTTAGCATAACTAAGAAAAAAAGAGAGGAAACTCAACTTAGTGAAAAAATCAGAAATGTAAGTGGTGCCATAACTACCGATCTACAGAAATAAACAGGTTTAGCCGAGACCGGGTTGGCTCAATGGATAGAGCGTCGGCTTGGGGACTGAAGGGACCCGGGTTCGATTCCGGTCAAGGGCATGTACCTTGGTTGCGGGCATATCCCCGGTAGGGGGTGTGCAAGAGGCAGCTGATCGATGATGACTCTCTCTCATCGATGTTTCTAGCTTTCTATCTCTCTCCCTTCCTCTCTGTACAAAATCAATAAAAAATATATTAAAAAAAAAAAAAAAAAAAAAAAAAAAAAAAAGAAATAAACAGGTTTAAAAAGAGTACTCTGAGCTACTGTATGCCAACAACTTCTGGATAACCTAGATGAACAGACATTCCTAGAAACACACACCTGCGAAGACTGAATCACTAGGAAACGGGAAATCCGACAGGCCTCTAACTAGTAAGGAGTCTGGATTAGTAATCCAAACTCTTCCAACCAAGCCAAGCCCAGAACCAGACGGCTTCCCTGGTGAATTCTACCAAACACTTGAAGGTGAGTTAACATCATCCCTCTCCAACTCTCTCCACAACCAAAGAGGAGGGGGTACTTCCTAACTCGCTCTGAGATCAGTACTACCGATACCAGCTTTTAGTGCGGAAGCTGGTTAACACACAGATGGCCAGGCGCCAACCCCAGAGTGGCTAACTCAGTAGGTCTGGGGCGAGGCCTGAGAATCTGCATTTCTTACAAGGTCCCAGTGGTGCTCCAGCCACAGGACCACACCTAAGATGTGTGTGTGTGTGTGTGTGTGTGTGTGTGTGACCTCACAGGGCCACATACCCATGTGACTTAAGGGCAGTACACAGTAATATCTCATCAGGGCCTGAAGACCCCACCTAGCAAGAGGCGAACACTTGTGATGATGCCATGTCACACAGCTAGACATTCTGGGAGTGGCGACATCCTGATAGTAACACTTTATACTTCTAGTTTATTAAGCCCTTTTATATACATTATCTTCTTTCACACTTTTTTACAAATAAGGAGCTTGAGGGACGTGTTCAAGGTCACATAGCTAGTAAACAGTGGAACTGGGGTAAAAACTACGGTCTTCTGACCTGAGTACAGGTTTTTTCCACTAGACCTCAACCCATGGACAGAGGGGACTACGCAGGTGTGTGCAGGAGTCACCTGGGAAGATTTCACTACACACTGGCGCTGGGGCCGACCCGTCTAGCTCCAATTACATATTGTTCCAACTATGGTTCAAGCAATCTCCTCTTGTCGTTCCAATGGCATGAGAAGCCTCATTTTCACTTCAGGGCTGTTAGGAAAGGTGGATTTTTAACTCGACAGGCTGGCAATGGAGCCCTGACTGATGTCTCAAACCTTTATGCTGCGGTTATGTGTTTCTGACACACGGATAAATTGAAAAGGAAAGAGCACTAGCATCTATTTCTCACCATTACTTAAATGGAAAGATTTTCTGATTAAACTCTGAGTCAACTGCTAACTTCCATCATTTAAAAAAAAAAAATGTGTTTTTTTCCTGGCTGATCCATCCTGTTCTATAAAATGTAAGACATTAAAAATGTGACCCACTCCTCACTTTATGAAAGCATAAACATGACCTTAACCAAAAGAGAAATTCCTTAGTAAGTGGACTAACACGTCTGTCCCCCAATGAAGAAATAGAAGGGGAAAAAAGACTCCTCTCACCGCCAGGTCACTGTATATATGGTCACCAAAGTACAACACTTTGGATCCTCTCCATCCAGTAAGCTTCAAAAATTCATACAGATTGCCCTGCAATAAGGAAAATACAGATATTAACTCCGCCCTTGTGTAACCCATGGCCCAAAATACTTTTTAAAAATTTATTTTGCTTTTATAACTTATTTTAAATAACAAAATGTAAGGATAAAAACATCTTAGTGTGAAACCTTTTAGCCTTTCTTCTAAGTCAGATGTACTTTTCCAAAAGGGTTCATATGGCATATGCCTCTTTGGGACAATCTATTTACACTTAGCAGGCTCTGACTGTCTTCCCAGGTCAAATATTAACCTGCCATGTAATTCCATTCCTGATAAGGACCACAATCCATTTTACAAATTCCCTGTTATCATTTACTTTGTTATCTATCCTGTAAGTAATTTCATTCTTATAGTATGATTTTAGCTACATCTTAAATCATTTTCTTGGGCTAACTTCCTAGAAGTGAAATGGCTTTGTCAACGCTAAGTTTTCAAGGCCTACAAAATAGACGTAATGCCAACGTTGTTCTAAACCCACCAGGAATGTAGCAATACATTAAAAAAAAAAAAAAAAAAAAAAAAAACTTACTTCAGTAACACAATAATAGTTAGCAAGTCAATCATTTATTTAAACATTTGCAAGCCTTATATAATACCAAAATATATCAAAACTGTAGAATAAGACATAGCTTGTCACGAAGTAATTACTAATCTGGGCAGATACTAGTAATATGCCATGTGGTCAAATGCTTCTTAAGGAGACATTTCCAAGCTTTGCTACCAGTATCTTGTTATGTACTATGAAAAGTAACGCTTCACATTTCGTTTTAAGAAACTGTTCAATTCTGAGTTGATTTAGATATTGACTTAGGATTAGATTCTGCCACCAAGTCATACACAGTCCCCCGGGCAGAGCACTGAGCACTGCCAGCCCGGGTGAGCCTCGGTGAATGTCCGCTGTCGTCATTACTGACCACGCGCAGCACAGCAGCCAAAGGGATAAAGAAGGTCGTAAGGTACCTGCTTGTAAATCTGGCCCTTCTGCAACTTGTAGATTTTATCCCAGAGTAAGACACCTTTCTCATTCACCTTCCGGAAAGGTCTACGAACAGAGAAGGAGGACGTTATGAGGGGGGTGGTGGTGCAGGCTGTCTGCTGTGTGAAACACCACGTGGTCACCGGCCGGGAACAGAAGGGGCTGCCCGAACCTGAGAAATCCCTGGAAACAATTCTGGCATTCCCCTTCCCAGGGCACGGTCTCCCGAACTGTGCCCACCCCCCACCACCCACCCTCCCTGCCCGCCCCCCCACCGCCCACACCCCACCCCTGAGTCCAAGGACTTGTAGTAGAGAAAGAACTCCAGGGTCAGCTATACAACGGCTCCTCTGTTTCCCAAGGCTATTGGCTGCAGAAAGACATTCCATAAACCTTGGTAGAAATTTACTCCACCTGACGCAAAACCTGTGTTGCAGAGAGTTTTGCAAAATCCAACTGCAATGTTAAAGGTAGCATTTACAGCTCTCCTTAAAGAGCTACCCACCAGGTGGTTTGTTGCCGCTGTTTTGTTATACTTCACCATACATCTGCAGCGGGAGATCTAATGTACTGCGTGAGAGTACGTTTGCATTTTCCATTGTTATCCATCCATTTCTTAAAGCCTGACCAATAGGCCATTTTGATACGTGTAAGGTGTCTGCTATGCACACATCTCACTCTCCTCACAAGTACTTGCCAGAGGACTTCAAAATCAAAGGCTTTGGTGGCAGACGCTCGTGATTTCCCACCGGATTTCACCAAGACACACGCTATCGTAAGCATTCACAGATGCGAAGGAGGAAAGCCCAGGTCCCTGGAGAGGCGGGCACTCACCTCCGCCTGTCGTTGAAGAAGCTCGGCTTCTCGGCCTGGACGATGACCACGTCAAACAGGTCCCGCCAGTCCTTCCCGACGATATAGCTCATCCCTTTGTCCCTAAACAACACGCCGCCAGGTTAGCCTAGCCCTGAAGGGGTTAACTATTTTTTTTATTTTTATTTTTGCCACTTTTTCTTGCAAATTTCCTCTGAGACAGGCAATCCAAGAAGTGGGCCGGAAGGAAGCCGGCCAGGCACCCCGGGACTTACACAAAGCTGCTGGGGCTGTTGGTGATGAGGAACATCTTCTTGCCGTGATCAGCCAGCTTGGCCAGCACCGCGCGGGTCTGCTCGGCATAGCAGATGTACTTGTCTGAGAGCAGGAGGAAAAGGCACACACGGGTTCAGCGCGGGCCCCCCAGTCTGCCGCTGCTTGCTGAATGGGGTGCAGGCCCGCGCTGTCCAGGGCACGTGGGGGAAGAGGAAGAAGTCTTAAGGGAACCTGGATCAGGGTGGTCTATCAGTGTCCGGTGCATCAGTAGCCAAGACCCCCCCCCCCCCCGCCTCCTCAGTCAAAGGGCTGCAGCTGCCAGCACCTCTCTCTCTTTTTTTTTTTTTTTTTTAATATATTTTATTGATTTTTTAAAGAGTTAGAAACATCGATAAGAGAGAATTATCCATCAGCTGCCTCTTGCACACCCCCTCCACTGGGGATGTGCCCGCAACCAAGGTACATGCCCTTGACCGAAACCGAACCGGGACCTTTCAGTCCACAGGCCGAAGCTCTATCCACTGAGCCAAACCGGTTTCGGCCTGCACCTCTCCTTCTGAGTCAGGATTAGGCAAAGGGGAGAGAGACAGCTGAGAGGCGGGGATGCAGGACCCTTCCCAGTCAGAAAGGAGCTACCGCCTCGACTCAGCACCTTCGGGGACATGAGATGCCTGGAAGGGGCCCGGGGGAAGGGCGGCCTGGACCGCCTCCGTGGCAATGCCAAACACGTACCGATGTCGGCTTCGATGGCTCGGTACATGATTCCTTTGATGTGCACGTCTCGGATTGCATCCTGTCAAAAGGTACGTTTTTCAATCAGTGAGCGTACTGGCCCGAGTCGTAATACCAGCGAAAGGCACTCTGCCCTGAGGAGCCTGCGATCCAAGCACTAAATGGAACCTAAATTCTGGCCCATTTATCAGAGGTGGCCCCGGGGGGGGGGACGTAAGTTTCCATGGTGATAGTGGCGGGTTTTCAATGCAATGTGCAAGGGGATCACTGGGAGGAGATCATTTGTGTGGATAATTCTGAAAAAATAAAAAAATAAAATAATAAAATAAAGCCTCACATAAACCATAATTTATAAGCAGTATTGTGAACAAATGATTCCAGGCCGTCCAAAGGGTGTTATTGTTCATCTCTGCATCCACCCCTAAATCCCAACAGCAGGTTCAGAGACAGAGGCAGAGACAGAGAATGGGCCTGCCTCTCTTCAGCGCTACCGATGAGGGGAGGACTGCCAGCGGGGATGCTGACTCAGGCAGAGACGTGGTCCAGCCCTCGGACACGAGGAGGAGGAAGCAGCTGACCCTTTGCAGGCCCAGGAGTGTGGCGAGCTGCTGCCTGGCAGGTGTCCCAGCACAGCCCCTCTCTCCGGGGGCGCTGAGGAGGTCCTCCACACAGGCGGCACCTGGACACTCTCAGAGCCGGTGACAGGGGGCTGGACTGGGACAAACTGGGCCGTGAGCCTTAGCAAATCGCAGATTTCTGTCAAGCGTGAGCACCTGGACTGTAAATTCAACCTCGATCCCCCTCCCCCCCCCCCCCCGAACCCCAATACATCATATCGACAGAAGGCAATGGTTAAGAGCAAACCAGAACCAAACTTCCCGGCTTAATCCAGGCATCTTCAAACTACGGCCCGCGGGCCACATGCGGCCCGCAGAGGAGTCTGATCCGGCCAGCCAGGTTTTTTGGGCAGTGAGCGCAGCCGAGGTTTTACAGTAGGAATTAGTAGTTCATATAGTCCGGCCCTCCAGCTCTCTGAGGGACCATGATCTGGCCCCCACTTTAAAAAGTTTGAGGACCCCTGATAGACTCTGCTATTGACTAACTGTGTGACCATGGGCAAGTCACTCAACATCTCTCTGTGCCTCAATGCATCTATAAAATGAGGGTGACAATAACAGTTTCTACTTCAAGGCATTATTCTGAGGGCTTAATTAGTAGATATGCATAAAGCACTAAGAGGAACAGTGTCTGGAACACAGAGAACTCGGCACGTGTTCACTGTCGTGGTTGTCTGAACCGAACTTTTAAATAAACATCTCTCCTCACGAGTGCAAGGGGTTATGTAACTCTACGTGATTCCTAAAGATTCTTACAAATGGAGTATTTGTGTGCACGAAAAGGAGACTGGAAACTAAATATTTAGGTTCAGTTCACAGAACACCAGATTGATACTGAGACACTATAATTCATCTTTTATCTGCCTGAAACCCAGGACTCAGGGCGGTCAAAATTTTAAATTAGTCATAAACATATCATAAACAATATTGTAGGAATGAATATGGATCTTTGAAAAAATACATATATTTCAACAAATATGTATTATATACAGATTATATTTTATATATATTTCTAGCACATGCTTTGAAATATATATGAAAAAACATATAAAATAACACACACATTTTAAGTACTGGGAAAAGTTCAGTTTAAAGAATATTAAACATGCAACTACGAATTAAAATATATAAATACAGCTGAAGCCGGTTTGGCTCAGTGGTAGAGTATCGGTCTGCGGACTGAAAGGTCCCAGGTTCGATTCCGGGCAAGGGCATGTACATTGGTTGCGGGCACATCTCCGGTAGGGGGTGTGCAGGAGGCTGCTGGTGGATGTTTCTCTCCCATCGACGTTTCTAGCTCTCTATCTCTCTCCCTTCCTCTCTGTAAAAAATCAATAAAATATATTTTTAAATAAAATATATAAATACAGAGCTATATAAAGAGGTGTGGATATGCATATAAATATTTGTGTTGCTCTTCCTCCCCCTCTGAATGGATTTCCACAGCTGCTGCAGGGGGCCTCTGTGTGCCGGAGAGCATGGCGCCCCCTGTGGGCAGCTGCATCCCTGGGCCACAGCCTGAGACTCAAATGCCCGTCTTTGTGTAGAGCCATCCACCCAGCCGCTGGCCAGGCTCAGGGAGGAGCCAGGAACAGCTGGACCTCAGTCACCACTCGCCCCTCTGGCCTCAGAAACAATTGAGAAATCCAGCCGAAACCGGTTTGGCTCAGTGGCTAGAGCGTCGTCCTGGGGACTGAAAGATCCCAGGTTCGATTCTAGTCAAGGGCATGTATAATACCTTGGTTGTGGGGGGTGTGCAGGAGGCAACCGATCGATGTTTCTCTCTCATTGATGTTTCTAACTCTCTATCCCTCTACGTTCCTCTGTAATAAATCAATAAAATATATTTTTTTTAAAAGAAGAAGAAATTACAGATAACAATAGGATCTTCTTTTAACAACCAATTTGACCCATTTCCAGTTCTCCCAACGGAACGTCTTACAATGTTGAGGGACAAACCACAAACACAAGCACTGCCAGGCGAACGCTAGGTCCTAGTTCCACAAAAAGCACCAGGGGTGGGAACCCGGGACCTCTCCCCCGCACCCCCCACCCCACCCGCACAACCTTGACGTCTTTGTACAGGTGGACCGGCTCATAGTCGATGTTGTTCTTCAGGAAGTACTCGTTCACGCAGGACAGCAGGCCCATCTCGGGCAGCGAGAAGATGTCCATGAACTGCTTCATGGTGTTCCCTTCGGAGCTCTGCGGGCGGGGAGCACAGTGAGAACCCGAGGCCCGCGCCCAGCAGGGCCGGCTCGGCCTCTCCCGCAGGGGGTGCTGGTCAGCCTGATCCCTCTCCACGAGGAAAGAAACACTCTGACAATACCGACTAAGAAAGGTTCACCTTGGCCGAAACCAGTTTGGCTCAGTGGATAGAGCGTCAGCCTGCGGACTGAAGGGTCCCGGGTTCAATTCCAGTCAAGGGCTTGTACCTTGGTTGCGGGCACATCCCTAGTAGGATGTGTGCAGGAGGCAGCTGGTCAATGTTTCTAACAATCTCTCTCCCTTCCTCTCTGTAAAAAATCAATAAAGTATATTAAAAAAGAAAAAAAGAAAGGTTCACCTGTTCCTCTCACCCAGGCAGAGCTGGCATCTCACTCTAAGCATAAGTGGCACATCCAAGGAAATCCCCCCGAAAGTCTAACCGCCCTTCCCTCCACGCCCCTGTCCAACTCCCCGCTCACAGTCTCATCGAGCTCAGAGGAGAGCCGGGAGCCTACACCCTTGGGAAAGCAGAAAAAGCCACTGACTGTCCCGAGTCTGAGCACCTCCCAAGCCTCGAAGTGAGCTTGACAAAGAGCCTTTCTCTGAATGGCTGCACATTTGTTAACAGTTTACCAGCGGATGGGACATCTGCCATTGCACTTGGACAATGCTGGTAAGACAACGCATCTATCTAATAAGAAGCAAAAATGCAGGGGCCAAGGAGAACCACAGAGTTAGAAAAACAGAGGTTTCCCTTCAGGCACAGGGTAACCTGCTGCCCTCAGTCTCGGGAGGCGACAGCCGCTGCAGTGACAGCCCCCAAGGTCTTCATCCAGAACATGGGGACACCTCAGGGGGTAGTGGCACACAGGGGCAGGTAGCAGGAAGGTTAAGGAGTCTTCGTCAGGTAAGGAGGAAGGGCCTAAGAAAGGAGAATCAGCCCTAACTGGTTTGGCTCAGTGGATAGAGCGTCAGCCTGCGGACTCAAGGGTCCCAGGTTCGATTCCTTCAAGGGCATGTACCTTGGTTGCAGGCACATCCCTGGCAGGGGGTATGCAGGAGGCAGCTGACTGATGTTTCTCTCTCATTGATGTTTCTAACTCTCTCTCCCTCTCCCTTCCTCTCTGTAAAAAAAAAAATCAATAAAATATATATATTTTTTTAAAAAAAGAAAGGGGCCAAAACCAGTTTGGCTCAATGGATAGAGCGTTGGCTTGGGGACTGAAGGGTCCCGGGTTCGATTCCGGTCAAGGGCATGTACCTTGGTTGTGGGCATATCCCTGGTGGGGGGTGTGCAAGAGGCAGCTGGTCGATGACTCTCTCTCATCGATGTTTCTAACTCCCTATCTCTCTTCCTTCCTATCTGTACAAAATCAATAAGATATATTCAAAAAAAAAAAGGGGGGGGGGAATCACAAAAGGACCTACGGAGCCTGTACCATACTAATCTCTCTCAAACCCTGGGTCTCTCAAAACACAGCCCCAAAGCTCCTTGTCAGTTCCCTATGCGCAGTCCCGGAGCCGAGGAATCCAAGCTCCTACATGTCCCAGGCCATGTTTTGAGGAGGAAACAAGACAGGCTGCTTTCCCTAAACACGGCATTTCTCCTCACCTTGCCGTAAAAGTCGCTCATCTGCTCCAGAGGTACGTGGCAGCCCTCGTACATCTCAATGACTTCTTCATCGGGGACCACACTGAGGCCTCTGGGGGAAAGAAAAAAAAAAAAACAAGCTTGGCCAGTGAGAGCAACGAATGTCACACTTCCGGCAAGTGCTGGGGTCTTTCCAGCAAGGTGCGAGGCGTCCCCGGGAGGCACGAGGTGCCACTAGGAACTGCTGTTCCTCCTGCTGCCACCCTCCGGGTGACGAGAGCAGAGAGAGAAGAGCTCGTATCACACAGGCCTTCCCTTCGTTCTCTGCAATCCCAGGCGAAAGGCACTACTATCAGGTCTCCCTTGACCCAGCAGAGGCAACCGAGGCACAGAGAGGTCGTGCACCTTCCCCCAGGCCAGTCGAGTAGAAAGAGGTGGGTCAGGACTGGGTCCGAGGGTAAGGTGACCAGACGTCCCGATTTTTAATGATTTTTCAAACGCCACGGGACGCGGGATCAATCTTTAAAAATCGGGACTGTCCCGCCAAAAGCGGGACATCTGGTCACCTTATCCAAGAGCTCTGTGGGTCTTCAGCCTCCAGGCCACACTGCCGCCCTCAACAAGGGCCAAGGCCTAATGCCTTGCTTTGAGGCGAGTTGTTTTGGGGGGGGGGGGGTTGTTTTTGTTTCTTTTTTTAATGATTTTAATGCATTGGGGAGAGAAAGGCTGGCTCTGTCTCCATCATCCCTGTGCCCTCTGAGGCTCTCCCCTAAGGTCGGCGCCGAGATGGAAAAAGGCATGCACAAGGCCCGGTGGATCGACCCCGTGACACAAGGCAGGCAGGCGCCCGGGCACCGCCTCCAGGACGGGTGACCCGAATGCTACGTGGCAGGGAAGGCCAGTGTCCGCATCTGGACACCACGCCGAGGCAACACCCACCCCCTGCCGGCCTCTCCCACCTCCTGCCAGGAGCCGCGGGAGAACCTGCAAGTGAGCCCAGCGCCTCCGCACACAGGAAAGCACAAGTTCTGGAGTCAGAGCGGCTGGGTTTCAGCACTGCCGCTGCCACCAGCGCCATCGGGAGCAGGTGCCAGCGCCCAGGGCTCCGTGGTCTCAGGTTTCCTCATCTGGAGTCTCCCTCTCCAGGAGGTAAACAGGGGGCAATGTCGCTCCTCTGCCCCCTTCTCCCGAAGAGGAGGTGCTTGAGGAGCAGACACCATGAGGAGGGACCAGGGAAGGAGTGGTGGGAGCACCACACTGCGCTGCAGGAGGGGAAACACGTGACTCCATAAGAATTTTAGCTACTGACACAAAGAGGTTGCTTCAAATGCCACGTCGCTTGGCCAATGTTAAAGCATATTAACATTGTAATAAAGTAAAGTAAAAGATAATTTACGTGTGATTTGTGACTTTAAAGAAAGCTTAATGTCAGCCTCTTTTCTCCTTTCTCCACCCCCTGTATGACTTCTAAAAACATCCACGTGGATTCATTAAATATTTTGCCTCTGATCTTGATTAAACTTGTTACAAGTACCCGCTTTGAAAACAAAAGAGGCCATGTACTTCCGCCTATCTCCGCTCCAGAAATCAGATACGACGCTGGGACCAAGCCAGATCAGTCCGGACAGTGACCTTGGGAAACGGCGCTTGCTAAGGTAGCAGAGGTCAGGGGCGCGCACTCCTGCAAGGTTTGATCACTTGGAAAGAAAATACAAAAAAGTAGAAGAATTCTGCCGGGTGGGTTCTCGGCCTCCACACTAGGCCCGACCCAGGCCTTCGGAAGCCGCTGCTGCCTCTGAGCACGGACACGGGAACCTGGGCACACAGTGGCATCCTTACGGCCCCAGGGACCAAACGCCAGCTCCAAAGCAGCCGAGGAAGCAGCCTGCTGCAGGGTGTGTAAACCAGCACTGAACACTCCGTCACACACCCCGTGCGGGTATGAGACATCCAAGAGGTAGGAGCACAGATCGGAGCCAGTCTGCCTGGGGTTCCACTCCCACCTCCCTTCATCAGTTGCCAGCGGTATCGCCTAGACAAGGAGTTTAACTCTTTGGGTCTCGGTGTCATTTTAAACCTGGAAACAAGAACAGTACCTACCTCCTAGTGTTACTGAGAAGACTCAAAGAGTTACCATAGATGAATAGTAACTGGTACACGGTAAGGGACTGCGATGGGAATGACCCTAGCTTTTCACAAAGGTTCCTCACTCCCACAGCCCAGGACATAAAATTCAACCCGATGCAGCACCTGATCCAGCAACCGCGGTCCCTGGCAGGGCTCTGGCCTCAGAAACGAGCGAGGCTGAGGCGGAAGCATTCTTCCCGGCCACTCACTCACTCACGACCCCTTTTGAGGGGAGGGGAAGAGAAGGGGTATCTGTGCCTAGCGTGCTTTGGGCACCGTTCAAGCACGCTTCAGTCTGCATGGCAACCCGCCCCTGAGGAGGGCACTGGACCCATGCCCATCTGACAGAGGAGCCAACCAAGGCTCTGAGACAGTCGAGAGCTTGCTCAAAGCCACACATCTACGTGGTGGGGCCTGAGCTTCCACTCAGGAGGTGTGACGCCAGAGCCTACACATGCACCCCTTCAGCCACACCCTTCTCAGCACATGGCACAGGGACCTTCCCGTGACCTAATAGTGGGTACTCCTGCCCCTGCAGAGGCCTCAGCCCGCTCCTCCTGCCTGGCCCCGCCCATACACCTTAACACGATGGCTTATTTATCTACGGAAGAAACAGACTATCATTATAGAAGCCAAGAGCAAAGAAAAAAGACCATTTCAGGCTGAGGGTTGGGGAGAGGCCCGAAGGAGGGCTGGGATTTCAAGGAGCAGGAAGGAAGGAAACCCATCCTGGTGGGATGGCCGCCAGCGTGCACAGACGATGCAGGGAGAAAAGAGAACTCAGAGGAGAGGAATGCACGTGTTGTCTGGCCCTGCCCACCATCCGCTCCCTCTAAGGCTGACTGAAACTGGAGGGAAGAGAAATTGCCCTTCTCTCGAGCTGCGGGGACGGAAGTCTGGTAATTCCAGGGGTCCCCACCCCGAGGGCCTGCCTAGACAGAACTCACCCAGAGAGCAAGAGAGAGCCAAGGAACGGAAAGAGTTCTGACAACATCAACGTGGGCCCTGGGACCGGCCACACCAGCGACGGGCCTCGCAGTTAGTGAGCCAGGGCTGTGTTTTCGTTTGAGTTGGGGTCCGTTTGAGTTGGGGGTCCAGTCACCTGCAGTGAGAGTCTTAACCAACCCTGTAAGTAAAGGAGCTGTGCGTGCAGAAAGGGGAAGCTAAGGGTTTGGAGGTGGACAGAAAACCGAAGAGGTGAGGGGAGCCTCCGGACTTCAGGAGAGGAGGGCGTGGCCGAGGAAAGTGCTTTAGGCGCCATGTCCAGGACGGACGCCTCTGCAGAGAGCTAAGTGTCAGGGGAGGAGGGGCCAAGAGTGTCGAAGCTGGGGAGCTGCCTCTTACCTGTAGACGGTCCCCAGCTGGATGTAATGAAAAGCATCGATCTTCATCAGCACGGCCTTCAAAAACATAAACACAGGCAGATAATGCACAACAGTCTGCACGCTGAATCAGAACTCCGGGTGTCGTTATCAATCCTATGCAGGCGTCTTCAAACTACGGCCCGCGGGCCACATGCGGCCCGCAGAGGAGTCTGATCCGGCCCGCCAGGTTTTTTGGGCAGTGAGCGCAGCCAAGGTGTTACAGTAGGAATTAGTAGTTCATATAGTCTGGCCCTCCAGCTCTCTGAGGGACCGTGATCGGGCCCCCACTTTAAAAAGTTCGAGGACCCCTGTAAGGTGTTACAACAAGGAAGCAGCTGTATGTTGCTGAAAGCGTTGCTTCCTGATTAAAGCAGTGTGCAACTCATTAAAGACACGGCCTAGCCCGGCTGGGGTGACCCAGTGGTTAAACGTCGACCTATGTGGTCAGCAAACCGTGGCTCACGAGCCACATGCGGCTCTTTGGCCCCCTGCGTGTGGCTCTTCCACAAAATACCATGTGCAGCGCACACATACAGTGCGACAGAAACTTTGTGGCCCGTGCACAGAAGTCAGTTTTCGGCCTGGGGGAGTCTATTCTGAAAAAGTGGCGTTAAAACAAGGGACCAAAGAGCCACATGTGGCTCATGAGCCGCGGTTTGCCAACCACTGAATTACTGAGATCAAGGTTTGATTCCTGGTCAGGGCACGTGCCCAGGCTGTGGGCTCAATCCCCAGGAGGAGGCGTGCAGGAGGCAGCCGATCGATGATTCTCTCTCATCACTGACGTTTCTATCTCTCCCTCCCCCTTCCTCTCTGAAATCAATAAAAGCATTAAAAAGAAAAACACGGCCTCTCTGCAAGGTGTGACAAATGGCTCCTCCTCGCGCCCACAAGGACTCCTGGAAATAAACGGCATGTCCCCAACTGCTGAATGCATTCCTGCTTTTCTAATACAAGGTCTCTTTTAAAAAGCCTTCATCCAAAGACGTTCTGAAGAACTCAATTCTGTGGCCCCGAGGAACGTGAATTTAAAATCAGCGTGTGTGCTGAGCACAGAAAAGCACCCGGAGCCCACTGTATCCGAACGCCGCGAAACGAGAAAAACACGAGGATTGCACCTACCCGCTGCACATCGTAATGAAGTCCACGGATTGCAAAATTTGGGTCGTATTCATACTTCCTGATTTCCGCGGGGTACTAAGAAAAAAAAGAAGGAAACCAGTTTTAGCTGACAAGGCCCTCGCGGGGGTGGGTCCAGGTAGTGTCCATTCCGGTCCTTGTTCAAAGGCCGAGGTGGCTGACGCACTCTGAAGGTAGGGTTAGAGCACATGTGTCAAACACAAGGCCCGCGGGCCAAATCCGTCCCGCCAGGCCTTGCAATGTGGCCCGCACCGCGCTGTCATCACTGCACTCCGCTGCGTTTCCATCACAATGACAGTTTATGACTGTTCAGTAAACCATTCGGCCCGCGATTTAGGCTGGATTTTAGATTTTGGCCCCTTCTCTGATTGAGTTCGACACCCCTAGGTTAGAGGGTCAAATCGCAACCATCCCTCTGCTTCCGGCCCCAGAGCAGAGGGGTTTCTCATCCCTCCCACTTCTCTCGTCTTCACTGCCCCTCCTTCCCTCCTTCCCTCCGCCCCTAGGCTCCCAGACCCCTGAGACCCCAGACGCCCATCTGCTTCTCTACCCCCCTTAACACACTGTCAGCATCCGTTCTGCCCAGATGGGAGGGAGCACCTCCCTGTCACAGCCCTCGCGTGGCCCATTACCAGGTTCCATGAAGAGACCCAGATGCAATGTGGCTCCCATTGCATCTCTCATCTGGTCAGCAGGTCAGTCACTTGCTCACCTCCCGTGGGCTGGAGGGACCCCACAGTGTCAGAGCGGTGTCCTCCCCTCCCAGGCTCAGAGGGGCCCTTCTCAGCATGGGGCTCCCCCTGACCGCTCCAAAGCTCTGATTCAGAACGAATGTGGCTTGTGGAGGGAGCTGAGGTCCCCTGATATTTCCTAGTTATTGAGCTATTCCTCCCAGCTCCCCCCTTACCTAGGTCCTTCCCTCCTGCCCAGTCTCAGAATTGGACCAGCTACCCCACTGACAGCACCAATGTACCAAGCACTGCAGGCCCTGCCATTCCCATCTCACAGATGGAACATCAGAGGCACCAGATGAAACCACCTGGCCTGGGCCACGCAGCTGGGGTGTGGTGGGCGGGAAGTCAATGGGCAAAAACTGAAAGCATTTCCCTTAAGATCAGGAATAAGACAGGGATGTCCCCTTTCACCGTGCTGATTCAACATAGCACCGGAAGTCCTAGCCACAGCGATCAGGCAAGAAGAATAAATAAAAAGGCCTCCAAATTGGAGAGGAGGAAGTAAAACTGTCAATCTCAGATGACATATTGTATATAGAAAACCCTAAGGACTCCACCAAAAAAGCTACTACATCTAATAAATGAATTTGGCAAAGTAACAGGAAAATTAATATTCAGAAATTAGTGATATTTCTATACACTAATAATGAACTATCGGAAAGAGAAACTAAGAAAATCATCCCGGCCCTAGTTGTTTTGGCTCAGTGGATAGAGAGTTGGCCTGCAGACTGAAGGGTCCCAGGTTCGATTCCAGTCAAGGGCACATGCCTGGATTGCTGGCTCAATCCCGGGGAAGGGGCATGCAGAAGACAGCTGATAGATGATTCTCTCTCATCATTGATGTCTCTCTCTCTCTCTCCCTCTCCTTCTCCCTTCCTCTCTGAAGTAAATAAAAATGTGTTTAAAAAACAGTAACAACAACAAAAACTATCAATAACATATATGCATAACCCATAGACACACTTAGCAGTATGGTGATCACCAGAGGGAAGGTGGGGAGGTGAATGGGTGGTGGGCAAAGGGGGGAAGATGGGGACATCTATAATAGAATCAACAATAAAATTAAAGAAAAAAGCTTCTTATCACCAATAGAATTTTCTTTCTCTATTCGGGTAATTATTTCCCTTCCCTTCTCACAAATCCCCTTGCCTTCACATCACAATAGAAACACTATTAGGGTTTCTGCTTGAATTAGTGCGTATAGCAATTCCTTCTTCTCAAATAAATGCTTGTTGCCTCTCAAACAAAACACACACACACACACACAAAAAAAAAAAAAAAAAAAAAATAGGCAGTGATCAAGAAACCTCTCTGCAAAGCTGCCCTGCTAACTTTTCAGGGCCAAAGTCACATTGGCGTGAGAACATTTCCCGGTCCCACCAGGCTGAACTACATGCAGCAAGTTTTCAATGCAAGCTGCACAAAGCGCTGACTCAAATATCACATTTAGGCTCATTTATCTAACACCTGCCACGCGTGCCAAGAAATCACTACGTGATCGTTCCACTCAGGGGCGTTCCCAAGAATTCAGAACCCTGTGCACAGTTCATACACACACACACACACACCAGCACACACACACACACACACACACACACACACACACCACAGTCCTGCTAACCTCAAAAGAGGCGACAGGAATCCACGCCGCCGCAGTCTTCCTTGAACTCGGGAGGGACAAATAAGGGACGGGAGGGAGGTATTTAACTTGTTACTACGAGGGGGCCTCTTACTGGGCCATGGGCCCCACTGTTGTAGACGCTTTCTGCGACCCGATGTTATGCACTCGCCCGGATGAAGGGCTCCTCGTGTCCGTTTTCCTGTTGAATGGTCTGATGAGCCTGCCCGGGCTCACACAGACAAACAGAGGTCAGGCCAGGTCCACCCCAGCGACCGCACCATCAGGTCTGAACCAGCCCCCGGACGCTGGTGACAGCAGACCTGCCACCTCAGAGGCGCGGTGAGCTTGCGGAGGACTCGCGGGGACGAGGGGGAGCTGTTGGTTGTAGCTGAGGTGCGTGAATGAGAGAGTGTGTGTGCTCTGTACGTGGACCGCTCCAAAGTCTGGCGGCTCCTTCCCGAAACCAGGCCGAGCTGGGCTCCCTCGGTCACTCCCTCACCTGGGCCTGCCTGTCGCTTTGGCTGTTTTCTGGGAGCTACTTTTTCCGATAGGTGCACGATGGTTTCCCGATGGCCCAGAGACCACAGTCCACGACTGGAGAACTGGCAGAAGCAGCTGACGGAGCCTCCCTCCGCAGGACAGCATCTGATGAAGAATACGGGCCCCTGCGCTGAGGGGCCAGGTGTCACCTTCTAGGCTAGGGGTGTCGAACTCAATCAGAGAAGGGGCCAAAATCTAAAATCCAGCCTAAATCGCGGGCCGAATGGTTTACTGAACAGTCATAAACTATCATTGTGATGGAAACGCAGCGGAGTGCAGTGATGACAGCACGGTGCGGGCCACATTGCAAGGCCTGGCGGGACGGATTTGGCCCGCGGGCCTTGTGTTTGACACGTGTTCTAGGCCCACGGTGTGCTATCTGTGTGACCCTGGGTAAGGGCGTCTGTCTCTAAGCTTCGACTTTCTCATTTCTAAGGTGAGGATAACAAGAGTCTCACCCACAGGAAAGCAGGGAGGACTGAGTCAAAAAATGCCTTTGGGGGGTCAGGACAGCCTCCTCCCGCACACAGCAAGTGCTCAAGAACGCGGACTTGTGCCCTAGCTGGTTTGGCTCAGTGGATAGAGTGTCAGCCTGCGGACTGAAGGGTTCCAGGCAGCTGATCAATGATTCTCTGTCATCATTGATGTTTCTATCTCTCTCTCTCTCCCTCTCCCTTCCTCTCTGAAATCAATAAAGAAATATATTTCAAAAGGAAGAAAGAAAAAGAAAACTGACTTGTTTCACAGGATGAGGAACCAGGAGGCCTGGGCTTAGAGGCCCACCCACCCCCCCCCCCCCCCCCCCACCCCCAGCCTCTGCAGCTCTCCTGGAGGACTCTGGGAGAGCCACAACCTCATCAGGCCTTTTCCTTCACATGGAAAATGAAATGGTGGGCCTGGATCGTTCCACTCCTGCCCCTAAACTGTAATTCCCCACACAAGCAGCCAAGTCCCAAATGTCCCCAGGATGGGACACTTTCTGACACACACATGCACACACAGACGCACACACATGCATATAAACACACACCACGTGCACACATGCACACATGTGCACACACACGCACACACATATGCAGCATCTCTAGGAATAACCGGTCACAGCAATATCCAGTCAAGGAAGCCAAAGTCGCTCACATAGAACTGGAAGGTCACATTCTCTCCAATGGCCCATGGCTAGACTTTTCTGGACCTTTCAGTTAAGAAACTTTCCATCATCCTGAAAAACAGGACTCCCCCAACCTGTCACGAAGATTACTGGTACCCCTAAAAGCAGGAAGAAAAATCGAAGATAAAAGATTTTCACTTGGGATTTTCATTAAAAACATCTTCCGTAGGCCCACCCAGTCTGGTTTCCTTCAATGCATGGATTTTTTTCCAGTTCCGGGTGCAGTCTGGGCAGGTTGGTGAGTGTAGTCAGAGAAAGGTCAAGGTTTCCCCCCCGAAAATGCTCCAGCTTTGAGGAAAGTTAAGACTAAAACCCTGCGGAGGACCCAGGCGTGCCTGCAGGTGCCATTCCTGCAGATCTGCAGCTGGGCCACGAGCCCTTTCTGGCCAATCACAGAGCTCCGGCTGCAGCCAGTGGCCTCGGGGTCACTACACTGCCCATGAGTTCCTGGGGGCCAGATGCCTATACGTGCATCCACCTTTCCAGCAGTCTCAGCCTGCTCTCAGCAGGAGCCTACATTCCGAGTCTAATTAGAGGCAGGGCAGAAGGGCATGAAAGCAAAGCTCTCCAAAATCCACACAAAACAAGTGAGGGAGGGCAAGTGACCCACATCAGAAGGGCAGTTCCACACTCAGCATGGTGCTCTGGCGTCACCGTGGAATTCCACAATGACGTCAGCTATTTGCTGAGCACGCACTTTGTGCCAGGGCCTGGGAATCCAGCCGTGAACCCAACCAGCACAATCTCTGCCACTAAGCAGTTTCCAAATAAGCAAACACATACACAGTACCGGGCCTGGTGGGGGTAAATACTACAAGGAAAATGCAGTACAAGGGTTCAGAAATCTGAAAAGAAAAAATATATATATTAATAAGAAGCTAAGGGCTCAGGCTGCCTGGGCAGGACTGACTTCCAGAGCAGAGGCAATGGCAAGTACAAAGGCCCCAAGGCAGGAACGTGTCTGAGAGTCCGAGGAGCAGCAAGCAGGCTGGTGTGACCGGAGCAGAGAGAGGGCAGAGGCAGGAGAGGCTGCTGAGGAGGCCGAGGAAGCCGGGAGCCTTGGAGGCCTTCTGTGTCATTGAGCCCAGGAATGAGGTGGTTAATATTTAACGATTCATTCTTGCTCCCAAAGGAAGAGCAGTCTAAGGAGAACAGAGAAGCAGGGAGGCCAGCCAGAAGACCACTGCACTGTGGTGGCCGTGAGAGGGGTGAGAAGTGGCTGCAGTCAGGACACAAGTTTTATGGGTATCTTCTGAACGAGTGAAAGGAGAGCTCACAGCTGCACAGAGTGACAGCCTCCCAAAGAGCTCGTGGGAAGGATGGGAAGGGGAAATGGTGCAGAGACATGGAAGCACGACCTCCGCCAGGTGGTCAAGGTCAACATCACAGGTAAGTCATGTTGGTGGCCTGTGCCCTGGGGAAGATGTGACGACAATGGCACTGTACCTCTGTGGTCTTCCTCCCCCAAACCCTAACCCCATCTAGCCATAAGAAAAACACCAGACAGATCCCAAGAAAAGCATCAGCTAAATTCCCAAGAGAAGGAAATCCTAAAAATTACCCAGCTAGTACTCTTCAAAACGGTGACGGTCATCAACAAACGAGGAAAGCCTAACTGCCAAAGCCAAGAGGAGCCGAAGGACTAACTGTGACGCTGGGTCCTGGATGGGATTCTGGAGCAGAAGGACATGAAGGAGCAATGAAGGAAGTCTGAATCAAGTAGAGACTTCAGTTAGTGATAACTCTTTATTAATACTGGGTCTTCTCTTGTGACAAATGTACCGTGGAAATGTAATACGTTAACATGAAGGGAAACCAGGAATGGGGTATACAGTCAGAAACTCTCTGTATTATCTTTGCAACTTTTCTGTAAACCTAAAAACTTCTAAAATTAAAAGATTTTAAAAAACAAAAGAGAGTGAGGACCCCGCAGCATATGCTGCAGAAATCAGATGTGAAATACAGAATGCCAGGGGTCACGGCCAATGTTAAGCCTTAGACTGAAAAACTGGGTGAATGTCAGTGCCACAGATGAGGGTGCAAATTTAGGAGATGAAATCAAGAACTCCTCTGACACTCCCCTCCTATCCCTCCTTCATGGACAAATGAACTGAAGGTACAATTATTACCCAATCTTTTTTTTTTTTTTTTCTATCTTTGGTGTCTGTTTTTGTTGTTATTGTTGTTGTTGAGAAGGAGGAAGAGGAGGAGGAGGAAGAAGAGGAGGAAGAGGAGGAAGAGGAGGAGGGAGAGAAAGAAAGAGAAGGAGGGAGAGAGAGAAAGAAAAAGGGTAATTAAGGAGCTGAAACTTTTACATTTGCTTTTCGGGAAGATGCTAAATTGCCCACTTCCTGTCTATTACTGTGCACTCGAGCACAGATGTCTTTCCAACTCTCCAAGCACACAGAGTCTTTGGCAGGAACAACAGCACCAAAGCCAATGCTTCCAACAGCATCTTAGGAGAATCCTTTTCAAATCCAAAGCAAAAGAAAAATCTACATAAGCATAACTGACTCTATTAATACTCCTGATATAATTAGTGTATTGATATCTTTCTTTTATTCAAGCAACAAACATACATAATTGGAGTGAAACTTCATGATCTTAAATCTGGAAGCTTTTCTAATCATAATCATTGCAACTTTTTTAAACTATATAGGTAGGTATGTATGAAAATAATTTTTTTATTTTCCTAAATTCTTCATCTTCCTGAACATTTTATTTTCCTGTGAACAATGAGGTAGAAATGGCAGATGTTATTAATCCCACATGGGGCAACATGGCCTAAAGGAGGGGGCATTTGCGCCTTGGAAACGGACAGATCCTGGTTCTGCCCCCCACTGATCTCATGACCTTGACCTTCCAGCTTAACTCCATCAGCCTCAGTTTCCTCAAGAGTAACACAGAGACAGTATCTATCTGCAGGGCTGTCGTGCAGATAAGAAGTGATAAAGCCAGGCTCTAAATCCCAGCAGTCAAGTTCTAGAACCTGGGCTTTTGGTACCAGCAGACAAGCAGCAGACGGTACTGTTAGCAATGACCTAGGTTTTGTGAGTGACATCAGAGCCACAGCCTATGGCCTGGGAGTAGAAGGTCAGCACCCAGCCACACCCCTTCAGCTCAATCTCCCAGTGGGGTACCAGAGAGGTGGTGTAGGGGGACAAATGGAAGAGTAAGGGCAGGACCACATGGTTCTCATTCAGCTTCCATTCTCGCAGACCAGGGAAAGGACTACGGGTTAGGCCAGTGGTCGGCAAACTGCGACTCATGAGCCACATGCGGCTCTTTGGCCTCTTGAGATTTTAGCAAAGGCCAGCTTAGGAGTATACCCTAATTAGGTTGATAACAATGTACCTACCGCCGAAACCGGTTTGGCTCAATGGATAGAGCGTCGGCTTGGGGACTGAGAGGTCCCGGGTTCGATTCCGGTCAAGGGCATGTACCGTGGTTGCGGGCATATCCCCGGTAGGGGGTGTGCAAGAGGCAGCTGATCGATGACTCTCTCTCATCGATGTTTCTAGCTCTCTATCTCTCTCCCTTCCTCTCTGTACAAAATCAATAAAAATATATTAAAAAAAAACCAATGTACCTACCTATATAGTTTAAGTTTAAAAAATTTGACTCTCACCGAAACCGGTTTGGCTTAGTGGTAGAGTGTCGGTCTGCGGACTGAAAGGTCCTGGGTTCAATTCCGGTCAAGGGCATGTACCTTGGTTGCAGACGCATCCCCAGTGGGGGGGGGGGTGTGCAGGAGGTGGCTGTTCGATGTTTCTCTCTCATCGACGTTTCTGGCTCTCTATCTCTCTCCCTTCTTCTCTGTAAAAAATCAATAAAATATATTTTTTTTTAAATTTGGCTCTCAAAAGAAATTTCAATCGCTGTACTGTTGACATTTGGCTCTGTTGACTAATGAGTTTGCTGACCACTGGGTTAGACCAAAGAGAGTTTCTTGAACAAACGGAGAACCGTTATTGAATGGCAAAGGGCTAGATGGGCTGACATCTGGTAAGGCGGCCATAATTAAAGAAAGATGGCCGGTGGCTTAGTGGCAGAGGTCAAGTTATTTTTGGCAAATACCATTTCTGCATTTTAAAATAGGACACGATGAGTTGCTTATTAAGTGCACTGATAACCAAAAGCTGAAGAGAATATACTGCATCCAATGGTGAGGATTCAAAGCTGATAGAAACTTCGGCGGTATTAATAAAGGTATGGTATCCAGAATCAGGGAGGTGATGGTCTCCCTCTATCCCACACTACCAGACCCCACCCGCAGTAACATCTCCAGTTCAGGGCCTCACATCCGAGAAAAATAAAACGGAGCACAAACAAGGGAGATCAAGATGATAAAAGGAACCCGTGGAAGAGTCTCCCCCAAATCGGAACTGTCTCCCGGAGTAGCGGTGGTACGAGCGGAACTTCACAGGATGCCATGGGGTTCTCCGAGGACACGAACCCAAACGGTCTCTGAGGATGCTTCTCATCATGGTTCCTGAAATGTGTGCTCAAACCAGAGAAACACATGCTAGGTTTTGAGTGTGTGTGTTTTTTTTCCTTCCTTAGTCTAAGATCTCAACAATACTACCGTATTTTCCGGCGTATAAGATGACCCCCTAATTTTACAATTAAAACATAGGTTTAGGCCTATATTCGCTGTATAAGACTACTCCCCACTTCCGAGGCAACACCAGTTCTTTTTTTAGTAGACCGCCTCTCTGACTCTGGCCAATCCAAGCAGGCTTTTTATGCATGCAAATTATACATGTTCTGTACCCAAAGCTACACTGTGTTCTAGTAAAAAGCCTGCGAGGGCGGTGGTATAGTGCCATCCTAGATTTCCAAGTGAGGTGCTTTCTATCTGTCCTCTTTTCTCTGTTCCCTCTGCTGAGACCTGAATTCAGACCACTGAAAAAGTCCGGTTGACTTTTTTTTGTTTCAAAAGTCGTCTTATACACTGGAAAATACGGTATGCATCAGAAGACATTCAAATCCTATCTAATAAAGAGTGGATATGCAAATCGACCGTCACACCATCACAAAGATGGTGGCGCCCATAGCCACAGTTGGCGGCACCTAGTCCCCTCAGCCCCGCTGAGTCCCCAAATCCTTTCAGCCCAGCCAGGGGGGCGGCAGGCACACAGTGTGGTCGGACCTGCCCTCAGCCCCCTACCCGGCCCATGGCAGACCCAAGGCCAAGGCAAGCCTCAGATGGTGGCTGCCCATCCGCCCGGCCATGATTGTGCACTGGTGGGGTCCCTCGGCCTGGCCTGCACCCTCCCAAAATCCGGGACCCCTCAGGGGATGTCAGACAGCCAGTTTCAGTCCGATCTCTCAGGCCGCACCAAGAGACCGCACTGGTCCACGAATTCGTGCACTGGGCCTCTAATAATAATAATAATAATAATAATAATAATAATAATAAAGGAGGCAGGAGGAAACTTAGGGAGGTGATGGAGTTTATGGCCTTGATGGGGGTGTGGGTTTCACAAATGTATACTTACCCCCAAACTCATAAAAATGTATATAGTAAATATGTACAGTTTTTTACACATCCTCAGCTCAATAAAGTGGTTAATGGAATAGAAGAATATCCATTCATTCGGCCGCAATTTTCTAAGTGACACCTGTGTGCCGGACACCGGGTCAGGTCAGCCACAGCTGTTCTTTACCATCTAAGGGCCGGGGAGGAAGAACGACATGTCCCTGTGCTCTCACCCGGTGTTCATTGATGAGAAGGTCCCGAGCAGCGTTGAATATCAGTGTGTGGAGGTGCTTTGAGTAAAACACCAAGGTGTAGTCATAATCAAAGCCGTAGATCTCGATGTCCGCCAGGCTCATCTCATTGTTTGAGAAAATGGCATCCGGATTCAGCAAATTGCTCATGATTGAAGGCACCAATTCTAGAAGTAAAGAAAAAAAGAAATGCATTACGCCGTGTGGTAAGTAAGGGTTAGTTTCTAAGTGAAATGAGCAAACAGAGTGATCCGGCTTCACCTCGAAAACATTATGCTGAGAGAAAGAAGCGGCCAAAAAGGACCACGTGTGTGTGATTCCATTCACAGGAAATGTCTAGCCCAGGCAAATCCATAGAGAGATTAGTGGATGCCTAGGACTGTGGGATGGAGAGAAATACAGTGACTGCTAATGGGTGTACAGAGTTCCTTTCTGGAGTGAAGAAAATGTTCTAAAATTGATTATGGTGAGCATCAGCCTGCGGACAGAGGGGTCCCAGGTTCAATTCCAGTCAAGGGCATGTACCATGGTTGCGGGTACATCACCGGGGGGGGGGGGGGGGGGGGGGCCTTGCAGGAGGCAGCTGATCGATGTTTCTCTCTCATTGATGTTTCTAACTCTCTATCCCTCTCCCTTCCTCTCTGTAAAAAAATAAATAAAACATATTTAATTTTTTAAAAAAGAAGTCTAAAGATACCATCTTTGCAATGGAGAACAGTGCCTTTTTTTTTTTTTCTTCCAAAAATAAAATAAATTCAAGTCTTGATAATTTCAATGCTTTAGAGTCCACAGTGCTCCCCTTTTCCTTTCTGCTCACTTCTTTCTGACCAGGAAGGGCCCACCTTACCCACTTGCGTTCCAAGGGCCACCTGAAGTACTCCAAAGGTCCTCCTCATCTAGCAGGGTGATCGCTCCACTCCGGACTGTCCAGCAGCAACTCTGAGCATCCCAGAAGGCTCCTCGCAGCCTGGCGGCTTGGATCCCTTAGGAAGCTATGGAATCCTCTCCCCAGAAAAACGCACACGGATTTTGCAGAAAATTTTAGGGCACATGTGTCAAACACAAGGCCCGCGGGCCAAATCCGTCCCGCCAGGCCTTGCAATGTGGCCCGCACCGCGCTGTCATCACTGCACTCCGCTGCGTTTCCATCACAATGACAGTTTATGACTGTTCAGTAAACCATTCGGCCAGCGATTTAGGCTGGATTTTAGATTTTGGCCCCTTCTCTGATTGAGTTCGACACCCCTATTTTAGGGAGATGGACCCCTGAAGCCTATTCATGGTCTCCAGTTAAGCTGCCACATTACCTTAACTTCAAACCAAGCCTTTACATCCCCACACAGAATTTCCAGGCTAATGAATGAGGGCAAGTGTATGAATGAGTGAGTGAGTGAATGAATGAACGAAGGAATGAGTGAATGAATGAATTGCCCATTGATAATTTAGATGTGGCTGACTCTACTGAAAACCCTAACAGTCAAGATTAAACTCATTCCATTTCTTCATTAATTTTGACAAAGAAACGAAGGAGACAATAGCCTTAGTGTGTTGTTGGTTTGTCGTTTATCTGTTTGTTTTGCAAATGAAAACAATGTGAGGACAGGAAACAGGAACATTTTAGAAACCTGAGGGTAGCCAGTTGACATGAGTCAGTCCTAAGGAAGGGAGAAGCCAGCAATCTCACGCTCTTGGGCATCTAACACCCAAGACCTCTGGCCTTACATAATAATCGGATGGTGCTATTTTCTGAATATGGCCACATGACACTGTCCGCACGAAGCACGTAAAGCGGGGATCGCTTACAGCTTTCAGTGCCTGGAAGCTCTACCTTGGCAAACCCACTTTCCAAGGGAAGTTCTAACGGCCGGTTTAAATAACAAGTTTATATTTAGAAATGGCCTCGGCAATGAAGCCCCTCTCCCTGAGAAGCATATATAAGGCTCTCAAGGAAAAACAACCCCGGTGGAAAATCACCAATAGCCAGCACATCTCCGAAAACTGCTCTGGAATCCCCCCCTCCCCGCCCCCGCTGGACTGAAAGTGTGTTACTCACATGAGCATCATCACCGGAACGCTGGGACGTTTAATTTACCAGCACTCAGAACAAAGAGAGGAACATCAGGAGGCTAAAAGGGATCACAGCACGCCCAGCGACCTCTTAAAGAAGTGCTAAGAATAAAACCCATGCTTACAAGGCAAGGGAAAAGCAGGCCCATCACTCACCAGGAGGATGAGGAGACTGAACTGTGAACTCTGAAATATAAATCAAGGCTCTTGGCTAGTCAGTTATGCACTTTCCCAAAGAGGAAACGAGAGTGAGCAAGAACTTAGAAAGTGAATTCCTTTTGCGCCTAATGGATGATGACAGCAAGACTAAACAACGGCACTAAGAAATGGAGACACAGCTCTGTTGCTCTGGCCAGAGCCGGGCTCCCAGGCAGCCGCCCTGAGCTGGAAGCTGAGGGCCTTGCAGGGGACAGTGTAGCAGGTGGCAGCTTCCCATCCTTCATCGACTCCTCCCACGGAATGCTGGGAAATGTGGTGACCAACCTATAGCAAGACATGTAACCTGTCTGAGGGGTTCTGTTTACTCATTTTTATTGCAGTAAAATTACATAAAATAAAATAACCAATTTTAAGTATACGGTTCAGATCTTAAGTTCGTTCATATTGCTGTGCAACCGGTCTCCGAGAACTCTTTTCATCTTGCAAAATTGAAACTCCACACTCATTCAATTACAACGTCCCCACCTCCCCCCCACCCCACCCCCACTCCCCCCAACGTCAGCCCCTGGTAACCACCGCTCTACTTTCGATGAATTGTTCCAGGTACATCATAAAAAGGGAATCATCATATTTTGTTCTGGCCTATCTTATGTCTTCAAGGTTAACCCATGTCATAGCATGTGTCAGAATTCTTTCCTTTGGCAGGCTGAATAACATTCCATTGTATGTATATACCATGTTTTGTTTGTCTCTTCATCCATCAGTGACGACCCTTGGGTTATTTCCACCGCTTGGCTACTGTGAACAATGCTGCTATGCACACATATGTACACATGTCTCTTTGAGCCCCTGCTTTCACTTCTTCAGAGTATTTACCCAAAAGTAAAATTGCCGGATCATATAGTAATTTTTTAAAATACATTTTCATTGATTTCAGAGAGAGAGGGAGAGAAAGACAGAAACATCCATGATGAGAGAGAACCATCCATCAGCTGCCCCCTGCACACACCCTACTGAGGATCAAGCCAGAAACACAAGCATGTGCCCCAATCGGGAATCAAACTGTGACCTCCTGGTTCATAGGTCAACACTCAACCACTGAGCCACACAGGCCAGGCTGAAGTTCAATGTTTTAGGTAAGGCAAACCACAATCCCAGAGACACATTTCATGAATATTCATAAGTATTCAAAAAAGATTATGAGTTAGTGTATATTTCCTAAAGATGCTTTAAATTCTCTTTTAAAAGTCCACATGTAGATTGAAAATAAGGTTTTAACATTTCTTTTCAAAGTATATAGATGAAAATATATTGGGGGGGGGGGGGGGAGTACAGGAACTTTGGTTCCTAAGTTCCTAAGTGAAGCAGTATCTACATTTCAACGGCCATCTCTGTGACACATACACTCAAGGTTCAATATCCAAATTTGAAACATTTCAACTTCTCATCTGTAACTGCCAAGGAAAAGACAACCCCACTTGAGGTGGTTTTCTCTCAGAAAACAGCACACGTGACAACTTTCTTCTGTCAGGAAAGGCTTGGGCGGAAGCCAGTTTTGCTTCTGCCACTTGTCTGAAAAGTGTCAGTTTGTTCTGATGCAATTGATAGGTTAGGGAACAGTTTGACCATCACACAAATTTCACATTTATATTTAGAATGTTAGGTTTCCTGCCAACCAATGTTACTTGGGACGGTTGTGTCCATTTAATATCCTTTCTGCTCATCATTAGTTACAGGAAGGGAAATCAAGACGAGCAGAAAGTGTGACTTGAGGTACAGACAACTCCTAAGAGTGTGCTACTGTAAGACCTTAGAGATTTATTTGGGATTTGGGGTTTTATGGGTTGTTTTGTGTGTGTTTTTCCTTTTTGTTGTATTTATTGGCATGGCATTGGTTAACATTATATGGGTTTCGGGTGTACAATCCCACAACACAGCATCTATATAATGTGTTCAGCACTCCCCCAAGTCAAGTCTCCTGTCACCATTTATCCCCCAGGCCTTAGAGATTTAAATACAACCATTCTTAGCCAGAAACTGCTTTCTCCCGCACCTCCAATAGCCGTCCAATTGTAAATCAATTTTCCTTCTGCAATCGTCCCACAACAGATGTCCGATGTCCAAGGTGCCCTTTTCACTGTGAAGGTGAACATCTATGGGGTCATCAGCCCAACACACCCCAACCCTTAGCCGAGGAATGACCCTTTGCCACCTCTAAAAACACAAATTCTGTAGTTGGTCCGAAGGTTGTGGGTTATTGTTAAGCTGATTAAAAACACAAATTCTGGGCTCTTCTGGGATCCTACCCCGCCCCTCCATCCCTAGTCCTTGGTCCAGAACAGAACATGTGACTCATGTTGGACCACTCCTAGGGTCCTACCTCCTGGGTAATGACTTAATCCAGGCTAAACTAGAGTCCATCCATTATTTCTGTGTCTCTCCTTTATAACATTAAGGAGGTACCAGTGAAGCCATCATCCCAATAAAGATAATGAACCTATCTCAATGTCTCCAAACATTTCCTCGCCCCCTTGGAATTCTACCCCTCTCTCCCTCTCTCCTGTGCCCCTGCCCATCCCCAGGCAACTGCAGTTCATTATATCAGATTTGCATTTTCTAGGATTTTATATAATTGAAACCATACAGCATGTCGTATTTTGATAAACTAAAACTCTCAGGAATTTTTGCAATAAGCCTTACTGCACACCTACTGTGTGTCAGGCACTGTATGGGGCACGGGGCAGAGATTATAAACAAACGTAATGGCAAAGCACAAACCGTAATGAGCAACATCACATCACAGGCAGTGAGAGAGGCCAGGAAATGGCACTCTGACAGGTGGAAATAAGCGGGACTGACACAGGGCTGGGGGGGGCCCAGAGAAGGCGGCAATTCAAAAGCCACGTTTATTGCATTTATCAATCTAAAAAGAAGCTGCCTTTTTTTCACTAGGTTAGATATTTTGCATCATCTCCAGGGGAGATCAATCCATGACAAAAAGAATTACTTATCTGAATAATGAGTAATGCATATGACAGTTATACTACTCCCACCAAAAGTTAAAATTATAACTCTTACTACTCTGTAAGTGACACCTGTAATTGACTGCTCTGTAGAAATTCATTATGCTTCCCAAAGTTCCAAAAATAAAAAACACTTGCCCTAGCTTCTTTGGCTAAGTGGATAGAGAGTCAGCCTACGGACCAGAAGGCTAGGGTTCGATTCCGGTCAAAGGCACACGCACAGGTTGCAGGCTGGATCCCCAGTGAGGGGCGTGCAGGAGGCAGCCAATCAATGATTCTCATCATGGATGTTTCTATCTCTCTCTCCCTTTCCCTTCCTCTCTGAAGTCAATAAATATACTTTAAAATAAAATAAATTTAAAAAGCTTAACTGCTCAAAAAAAAAACTTAGAAAAAGAAAAGTGAGCCCTATCCAAAGATCAAAACACAAGGCAAACTATCAAGAATTTGCCATCGAGGTGTAGAGGGCACAGAAGAGGAACAAATACTTGTCAGTGCCTTCCGCACTGGACACGTCTATTCGTCATCTCAGTTAATGTCCCAGAAATCCCATGAAGGAAGACACACAGGGCAGGCCAGGGAGTAGGCTGGAAGATGCACACCGCATGCGGTATAAAGGGAAATAACAGGCCATATGCAAGCACATCCATCCCTTTAAATGACGATTGCACGTGATTTCACAGAGCTCATCATTTTAGAACAAGTTTTCTCAGTCTTGGTGCAACTGACATTTGGGGCTGTGTCATCTTTGCTGTGGGTGGCTACAGGAGAGCCGCATCCTTGGCCTCCACTAGAGGCCAGCAGCCTCTCTGTTCTCCCAGAAAAGGTCTCCAAACATTGCCAAATGCCCTGAGGGGCAAAAAGTCCCCCACTTCAATGCTGGTTGGGAACCACAGGTCTACAGGAAATTTTTGCTAAAGGTTATAAACCAATGTTTCTTTTCCTAAAATTAAAAGAACCTTTTCTAGAGCTGGCTGAATTGTATACAAGGTGCATAAATATTACATATCTAAAAATCTCAAGCTTAAAAAAAAAAAGAAATTCTAAATGAGGGGCCTTCTACAATGTGACCAGCACTCACCTGCAAGCACTGCTCTAAACACCCTTCATGGATGGACTCACCGATCCCTGGACACAACCCTATGACGCTGGTGCTACTGCCAGCTTCCCATTTTACAGATGGGGAAATGGAGCTTCTTCGTGGCATCCCCAGGGTCCCACAGCCTACGAGCAAGTGGCACATCTCACCCACAAGATAAGGATGACAAGATTCCTGCCCAGTTTCTCATAAAACTAAACATAGAATTGCCATTCAGCCAAGCAATGGCATGGCACTTAGAGAAATGAACACATACGCTCTTTCACACAAAAAACTTGGACCCAGATTTTACAGCAGCTTTCCTGTAACAGTAAAAAGCTGGGAGCAACCCAGATGTTCTTCAGCGAGTGGACTGTGGTTAAGTAAAGTTAAGCTGAGGTACATCCATACCATGGTGTGCTTCTCAGCTATTCCACACAGCTTAGATGAACCTCCAAAAGCCAATTCCAAAAGGTTACACATACTGTATAATTCCATCTATAGAACACTTTTGAAATGACAAAATCTTATAAATGGAGAATGGAGAATACGCCTGGAATTAGAGAGAGCATAAGGAAGGAGTGGGTATAGTTATAAAGATAATGTGAGGAGTATTATATATATATATATATAGATAGATAGATAGATAGATAGATAGATAATATAAAGATAATAAAGATATATAAAGAATATAAAGATAATATAAAGGTAATAAAGATGCTGGTTGTAAACTGTTCTTTATCTTGACTGTGGTGCAAGAAATAAGAACCTACAAGTGCTAAGACTGCATAGGACTAAATACACACACATAAGTACAAGTAAAACGAGGGGACTCTGAACAAGAGCTGAGAAATGTATCAATAGCGATGTACTGGTTGTGCACGGTACTATTTATTGTTTTGCAAAATGTTACTATGGGGAGAAAGTAGGCAAAGGATACGCCCAATCTCACTGTATTAATGCTTACAGCTGTATATTGTAAATATACAATTCCTTCCATTGAGAGTTTCCATTTGAAAGTCTTCCCTGCCCAAAAGAGGGGCTGCATGATCTACATTTCTTTCCCTGAAAGACTGCAACTTCCAGTGTCTCCAAAGCCAGTCCTTTTCCCACCATAGCACACATCCACTCCAAAAACCAACGCAAAATTAACTCGGACCAAAGGAAAAACTAAGAAAATGGCCGTGGTACACATAGCATTCTGCATTGCTGGCCAATCTTGAGTTCCCTCAGAAAAGTATCCCAATGGATTTCTTTCATTCGATTGACTTCTAGCCAAAAAGTGGACAATAATGATTCTACAAACTGTCCTCTCCCACCAAATAATCTCTCCTTATCTCTATGTGCCCTTTCCAACCCCCTCCTCAAAAAAAAAAAAATGTTTCAACTTTCCATTCTAAATCTCCCTTGAAAGAAGCAGCACCAATTATCACTGGCCCTTGGCACCCATTCCCAAATGGTCAGCCACTACCGCCTGGCAGAGCAACGCAGGATTTGAAATAAGACAGTGGCCTGGGTTAGGGGCTGAGGCAGATCGGAGTCCAGGTGTGACGGTGGCCCGGGTTCCTTACATTTGAGTCTCACTTTCCCATCTATAGGATGGGGAGGTGGCACCTCCCTCGGGTAGGCACAGGGAAGAATTAATTCAGGGAGACAGTCCAGGTAGCTGGCACTAATATTTCCTCCCTCCTCTTTCTCTCCCCATTTCCCTTGGTAACCACGGAACCATGCTGATGTTAAGTTCACGAGGCCACAAATGCAGTCACTCCCCGGGAGCCAGCCCCTCCCCGTCCAGAACACAGCCGACCTGCACACACACACACACACACACACACACACACACACACCTTTCCAACAAGGCAAACCCAGCCGGTCCCCTAAAACAAAGAAGGAAGCTAGATTAGCCTCCGGGCACTGTCACCTGCCCAGCAGGCGCGTCCAAAGTAACCCGCAGTGGGTCGGATTCGGCTGCTGCTATTCTTAGTGCCCGTTCCCAACCAAACCTAACGGTGCGTGGGGGTGACCGTCTCCACCCCCGGGGGAGCCCAAAGCGCTTCCGATGCAGATTTCTGACTAAAATATCCCAAGAATGTATAAAAGAGCTTTGTAATTGGAAGAAAGGCAAGAGTTGTAAAGTTTCCGGAGGCGCATTTTTCCGCGTTTCCCTGAATAGCAATGCGGAGGTGATGTTGCTCGCAGTTGGGGGCGATCGGGGCGGCTGAGGGTCACAATTGGGGATCCCGTAGATCAGCAAGCGGATCCTGCACGGGTCCGAGGCTACACGCTTCCCCGCTGACCGTGCGGGAGGAGACCTGGCGCCCCAGCCCCGCGGGGAGGGTCCCCGCAGCTACAGGGGCCCCCGGGGACGGGGGGAGGGCGATCGCACTCACCCTCCGAGCTCCTCTTCGCCTCCTGGTAGCGCTCCCACAGGTAGCGCTTCTGGTCGCGGGCGGTTCCAGGCGCCGTGCACAGGGCCCGCGCCTGGCCCGCGCGCGGCCGCCCCCGGGCCGCGGTCCTGCAGACGCTCCGCAGGGCGGCCGCTGCCGTCCTCGCCCGGGCCCCGTGGGCCATCGCCGCCGCCGCGGTGGCCATGCTTGCAGCCGCTGAGCTACAGCGGGCACCGCGGACTGGAGCTCCGCCCGCGCTCGGCCCAGCAGGCGGGCAGCTCCTTGCGTCTGAGCACGTGGTGGCGCGGCCCAGCCCCGCGGCTGGGAAGGAGCCTGGGGGCGGGCCCGGGGCGTGGTGGGCAGGGGCCTGGTCCAGTCTGGGGAGGGGGCGGGGCCTGTGGGGCGGAGCTTGGGGCGGGCCTGTGCGCTTGGTGGGCGGGGCCTGGCCCAGCCTTAGGAGGAGGGCGGGGGTGGGGTCTGGGCAGCCTTAGGAGGGGGCGGGGCCTGGCCCAGCCTTGTCAGGTAGGGGGCGGGGTCTGGGCGGGGCCTGTCGGGTGGTGGGCGGGGCCCGGTCCAGCCTTAGGAGGGGGCGGGGCGGGGCGTGGCCTGGGGCCACGCGCCAGGTAGTCTGCAGTCACTGCTTGGCCCGGCGGCGCCCCAAGTGGCAGTGCCCCAAGTGGCAGTGCAGTTGGGCAGACGCAGGTTCAGACCGAGGTCACAAGGAAAGGTATGACTTTTTTTTTTTTTTTTCTGTTTTTGTCTTGCTTTGCTTTTTATTTATTTTTTGTTTTTCTATATTGAAATTTCATTTTTATTTATTTTTTATTTTGTATTTATTTTTATTTTTTAATTACTTTATTGATTACGGTATCACATATTTGTCCTTATCCCCTCCATTCCCATCCCAAACCCCTCCCCACACATGCTCCCACCCCCCTGTTGTCCGTGACCACTGGTTAGGCTCATCTGCATGCACATAAGTCCGTTGGTTGATCTCTCTCCCTTATCCCAACCCTCCCCTACCTTCCGCTGAGGTCCGACAGTCTGATCAGAAAGGGATGACTTCTTGCCGACCCTCACCCTCGGCCACTGAACGTGACCCCGTTGCCGCCTGCCCGTCCAGCTCCGCAGCGTCTTCCTCCCGCAGTCTGTGCCTGTCCGCTCACTCTGGCTGCACGGACAGTGCCTCTCCAGGAGGTGCCCTCTCTCCACATGAATGGCCTCTGAGTTCTGGATCTCCCCTGGATTGCAGGGTGAGTCTAGAATGCCTCGGGATCCTTCCAGTGCTTCCCGGGAGAGGGCAGCTGTGCCAAGGCCCCACCCGTGGCCTGGTGTGTTTGAGGGCCACTCCCCTCTGCACAGCCCAGAAGGCCCTCCGGACACTGCCACCTTGTCCAGCCCCTGCCCACACTCACCTGCCCGGTGCACCTGTCCTCTCTCAGACCTTCTAGGCTGCACCTGTTCTGTGCAGTGTGGTTCCACCAAAGTCAAATAAACAGGAACTGCCCCCATGCTTCATTTCTGTGGGCCTGAGTCAGCCTTGGCTCCTGTGGGAAAGACGGATGCGGCCCACCCAGGGCCTGACGGAGACCCGCTGAACTGCGAGGGCTTCCCAAGCTACTGCGGTGGTCACTGTTGAGCGGGGCTGAGTGACGTCAGGAATTACTCTCATGTGTCTAAGTCCTTAATCTACAGAAGCCAGAATTAGAAATGGTGGGTAAGGCATTTTAAGAAAGATGACATCTGCTGAAACCGATTTGGCTCAGTGGATAGAGCGTCGGCCTGCAGACTGAAGGGTCCTGGGCTTGATTCTGGTCAAGGGCATGTACCTTGGTTGCAGGCATACCCCCAGTGGGGGCTGTGCAAGAGGCAGCTGATGTTTCTCTCTCATCAGTGTTTCTAGCTCTCTATCCCTCTCTTTTCCTCTCTGTAAAAAATCAATAAAATATATTTTTTCTAAAAAGAAAGAAAAAGAAAGATGACATCTAATACCAACCAGAGGACCCATTTAAAAAAAAAAGAGAGACTGATTTTAAATTTAAAATTGGGGGAAAATAATTATACTTATGTGTTTAGATAAAAAAAAAAATGCAATTTTTGTCTATATGACTTACCTGACTTTTTGGATTAAGAGTCCTCCTGCCATAGAGCAGAGGTCTCTGGCTGAGCCAAGCACTTTGAGGCAAAAAGTCACCTTCTAGAGCACATGTGTCAAACACAAGGCCCGCGGGCCAAATCCGTCCCGCCAGGCCTTGCAATGTGGCCCGCACCGCGCTGTCATCACTGCACTCTGCTGCGTTTCCATCACAATGACAGTTTATGACTGTTCAGTAAACCATTCGGCCCGCGATTTAGGCTGGATTTTAGATTTTGGCCCCTTCTCTGATTGAGTTCGACACCCCTATTCTAGAGCCTTTGTTTATTGTCTTCCCTCTACTAGGGGTGTCGAACTCAATCAGAGAAGGGGCCAAAATCTAAAATCCAGCCTAAATCGCGGGCCGAATGGTTTACTGAACAGTCATAAACTGTCATTGTGATGGAAACGCAGCGGAGTGCAGTGATGACAGCGTGGTGCGGTCCACATTGCAAGGCCTGGCGGAACGGATTTGGCCCGCGGGCCTTGTGTTTGACACATGTGCTCTACACTGACTGAGATGCTTGGCATTTCTTTTTTTTTTTTTTTTTACAAGAACCCCAGGGAGAAGGAAGTCACATAACGTTCACCTACCATACTTCACCCAAAATAAGCAGTTCAGCACAGAACCCCAGCTGGATGTAATAGGATATGAACCCGAAGTTCCGGTTTTTCCTCCCACTGAAATGGTCTCTCACTAGTCAGACTTAAATCAAATATCAGAGAAGAGAATAATAAGACCTCTCTGGGTCAGAGGTAGCTTGGAACGTAAATCACAAAAGCCTCTTTCATAGTCAGGATTAGTACTGAAATCTCTAGAATTAAGAGTTTTTTAAGATATGTTCTTAGCCGAAGCCGGTTTGGCTCAGTGGTAGAGCCTCGGTCTGCGGACTGAAGGGTCCCGGGTTCGATTCCCGTCAAGGGCATGTACCTTGGTTGTGGGCACATCCCCGGTAGGGGGTGTGCAGGAGGCAGCTGGTCGATGTTTCTCTCTCATTGACATTTCTAGCTCTCTATCTCTCTCCCTTTCTCTCTCTGTTAAAAATCAATAAAATATATTTTTTTAAAAAAAGATATGTTCTTGAAACCAAATCGAAATGTAGATGAGATGAGTTATAAAGGATCTATTAAACAGAAAAATTTCATCTTTGAATAAGTGCATCACAAAACTGTGATCAGCAGGAGAAACAAGCCCAGCCGTGTGACTCGGTGACTGAGCATCGACCTATGAATCAGGAGGTCATGGTTCGATTCCCAATCAGGTACCAGGGTTGCAGGCTCCATCCCAGTTTGGAGCATGGAAGAGGCAGCCAATCAACCATTATCTCTCATCATTGATGTTCCTATCTCTCTCTCCCTTCCTCTCTGAAACCAATATCCTATATAATAAAAGCATAATATGCGAACGGGAGGTCATCTGGGAGTTAGATTAGGGGACGGGGCCAGGCTGGGGAAGAGAGGGAGTACCCAGCCAGCAGCCGGCAGCCATTAGGGAACCTACCAGTGCATGATTGCATAGTGTACATATTAGAAACAAAATTTAGGTTTTAACACCCTCTCACAATTCCATCATTTTAGCATGTGCTTACTATAATCTCATGCATAAAAATGTTATGAATGTAACTAAAATCTGAGTTATCATTGCTGGAAGCCCACTATTCTCATACCCCTTGAAGGATTACACCACTTTCAACATGTTGATCGAATGTAATGATACAAGACTAAGGAAAGTCCTAAGACTTTTCAAGCTAGCAATTATCATCATTAATCTATAATCCAAAGAGAAACCTGAAAAATCAACTAAAGATTATTGTTTCCAATAGGTTAAAATACAGTTCAGGCCATTTCTTTCAATGCTGTTAGTCTGGGCACAGCCAACACTTCTGTTGAATACCCAGGCACATTGTGTAAATACCCAGAAAGAACCTGTTTATCCACTCCCTCCCCCTTCCTGCATTGACTGAGCACCATTTCTGATGCTTTGAAGAAATGAAGAATGAAATTCAGTGTTTAACTTTCATTTCATTTTAAGTTTCTAAGTTTTTATCTTTAATCAGAAAGTACCTTCGAATCTCTGGGCCAGGTCTGAGGCATTCTGTCCTGCATTCCATAAGTAAAATCCAAGGTGGGCCCATGTGAAGAGCCATTTGTTACTTCAGGTGCCGTGTTACTTAGTGTCATGGTTATCCGTGAGAAGGCTCTCCCTATACAAAGTGTCTTAAACAGAATTTGAGGAAAGATGTGACACACTGACATGAGAGAAGTGTGGTTGAGCATGGTGCTCTGCCTACAAAAGAATGAGAAATGGGATGGAAAAGACCTTTAAAAGGTATCTTTCTGGACTGACTAAATGTTTGTTTCCCTCCCCTAAAATTCGTATGTTGAAATCTTAACACCTGCCATGACAAGAGGTGGCCTTTGGGAGGTGATTAGATTGGGAGGGTGGGGCCTCCCTGAATGGGATTAGTGCACTTATAAAAGAGACCCCCAATTGCTCTCAGCCCCTTTCTTTCCACCATGTGAGAACACAGCGAGGAAATAACAATCCATGAACCAGGAACTGGGCTCCCACCTGACACTGAATCTGCTGGTACTTTGATCTTGGATTTCCTAGCCTACAAAACTGCGAGAAATAAATTTCTGTTGCTTAGCCGAAACCGGTTTGGCTCAGTGGATAGAGCATCGGCCTGCAGACTGAAAGGTCCCAGGTTCGATTCCGGTCAAGGGCATGTACCTTGGTTGCGGACACATCCCCAGTAGGGGATGTGCAAGAGGCAGCTGATTGATGTTTCTCTCTCATCGATGTTTCTAATTCTCTATCCCTCTCTCTTCCTCTCTGTAAAAAAAAAATCAATAAGATATATTTTTTAAAATTAAAAAAATTGAAAATAAATAAATAAATTTATGTTGCTTAAGCCACACAGGCTATGGTGTTCTGTTGGAGCAGCCTGAGCAAATGAAGACACTTTCCTAATGAGGGAAGGTAAATAGATAGCAAAAAAAATGGAGAGTTTGTAAAAACAGTTGCATACTTTAAAATCGAAGACTTTTTTTTCCAGAGAGGAAGGAAGAGGGAGAGAGAGATAGAAATATCAGTGATGAGCCGGGACCGGTTTGGCTCAGTGGGTAGAGCGTCGGCCTGCGGACTGAAAGGTCCCGGGTTCGATTCCGGTCAAGGGCATGTACTGTGGTTGCGGGCACATCCCCAGTGGGGGGTGTGCAAGAGGCAGCTGATCGATGATTCTCTCTCATCGATGTTTCTAACTCTCTATCCCTCTCTCTTCCTCTCTGTGAAAAATCAATAAAAATATATTTTTTAAAAAAAGAAATATCAGTGATAAGAGAGAATCATTGAGAGAATCATTGATCGGCTACCTTCTGCGTGGTCCACATCGGGGATTGAGCCCACAGCCAAGGCATATGGTTGAACTGTGACCTCCTGACTCATAGGTTGACGCTCAGCCACTGAGCCCCTCAGCCCAGGCTGAAGACAAGCTTTAAATAAGCAACGTATGGAGGTGACGCAATGGGGAAAGTCACCTGCTTCTGACAGAGGTAGATCAGAGCAATTACCTAATTTATGGTGCTCAGCTGCTTCCTGACGCATGAAAAGTTGGCCAGAGTGCTTGCATTTTCCTTTATTGTTATCACTTGTTTATAATATTCCATTGCTTTCTTCCTTTGGAGTCTGAAAAAGATAAATTTAATTAAAGTTTTGTATCAAAGTAGCATTGCCGTCATTCTTTCACTAAACAAACATTTGCTGAATGCTGGCACTAGGGCTGGAGTGCAAGCCGAAGACTAATTAATCCTTGCCTGGGGAAATTCCCGAGGTAGGAGGAGAGACTGGAGAGTGAAACAGAGGGCTGGCCACTCAGGGAGAGCACTGAGTACACACCGAAGGTTTTGGGGCTTTAATATTGAAGAGTTTTCATTAAGAGAATGACGTGATCTGATTTGCATTTTGGAAAACTCATTTGGGTGGATGTATGGAGGGTAAAGCAGGTGAGGCTACAGGCAGGGAGACCAGGCAGTTTAGAGCAGTGGTTCTTTTTTTTTTTTTTTTTTAAGACATATGTGTGTGTGTGTGTGTGTGTGTGTGTGTGTGTATTTATTTATTTATATTTATTTTTTTTACAGAGAGGAAGAAAGAGCGATAGAGAGTTAGAAACATCGATGAGAGAGAATCATTGATCAGCTGCCTCTTGCACACCCCTACTGGGGATGTGCCCGCAACCAGAGTACGTACATGCCCTTCACCGGAATCGAACCAGGGACCCTTCAGTTCGCAGGCCGACGCTCTATCCACTGAGCCAAACCGGTTCCGGCTAGAGCAGTGGTTCTTTCTCAGCCTTTCTAATGCCACAACCCTTTAATACAGCTCCTTCTGTTGTGGTGACCCCCAATCATAAAATTATTTTCTTGGCTACTTCCTGTCATTTTGCTCCTGTTAATAAATCGTAATGTAAATAAATATCTGTGTTTTCCGATGGTCTTAGGCGACCCTGCTAGTGGTTCTCAACCTGTGGGTCAGCATAGCCATCCTCGCTGGCTGGTCCTCATCACACACAGAGGCCTGTTCCTCATCCCCCAGCCCCGCGTGTCAGGCAGCCTGCCCCACCTTCAGCAAGAATCCTCTTCATCAGTATAGCCAGGGCCCCCCTGTTTACCCTGATGTCTCCTCTTCCCACCCCACTTTTCCCTGTATTCACCGTTGAGGGCAATTTCTCTCCCGCTCTGCAAAGCCCCTTTACCGCGGCCCTGCCCTGTCACAGAGGGTTTGGACCCTGGCTGCCTTGCCTTTCTGTAACACGGGTCACGAATGATCTTGTCTCTAGCAGCTTTAGTGGTGCTTGTGTGGGGACCAGAGACCATGGGCGGAGGCCTGCATAGAGGCCTGGGGCGGGTACATCGCCCTCACAAGGCCTGGGAGGGAGGCAGAAAACATCGGGCTCCTTTGGTCTTTTCCTGCTGCCGAAACCTCTGCACGTCCGTGGGCTAAGAGCTCCTTGCAAACAGGTTATGGTCGGAACATAACTCTCAGACACGGCAAGTCTCTCTGGAGCCAGAGAGGTGAGTCACCCCTGATGGGGGGCCCCAGACCTCCTTGCCATTGGGGGGGGGGGGGGTAAAGGGGAGGGTGTTTGGAGGAGGAGATACACTTGAAACATTTCATAAAAACTTACCTTTCACTCTCCCTTAATGGAAAATCAGTAAATCTGCTGAAAATTCCATCATTTCTCCGAGTAGGATGTTTTTCTCCCCCAAACACTTCTCCTGATATTTAAGCAGTCTCCAAATTTTGTGATTGCAAGAGAATTGTTTCCAGCAGCAAATCTGAAAATAAAACAGGCGTGTGTTAGTTACTGGGCACGATCAACGTTGGCTAGGTTCGTTGTGCGGCCAAAAATAATCCTCCTAACCACGCTGCACGTGGCACAGGAAGGTACAGCAGAGCGGTTCAGAACCACAGAGCTTCAAGGCCTTCCAAGCGATTTATAAGATGTTTGAGCTTCTTGATAAGAAACTGGGGCAACATTCTCAACCCTAGCATTACTGACATTCGGGGCTGGATAACTTGTTGTGGGGACTGTCCTGTGCGTTGTAGTATGTTTGGTGACATCCTTGGCCTCTACCCACTACATGCCAATAACACACGCGAGCGCACACACACACACACACAGGCAAAGATCCCGTGGGGGCCAAGATTGCCCTTTATTGAGAACCACTGGCCCAGAGGATGGAAAGACTTAAGTTCAGCATTTCTTTTTTTTTTTTCTTTCTTTTTTTTTAATATATCTTATTGATTTTTTACAGAGAGTTCAGCATTTCTTTACCCCGAAGATCAGAGGTGGGGGATGGATTCACGAGTGTGGGTTAAGCATATTAATCCTAACAATAAAAGCTAGTACAGGAAACCAAAGTGTATCAGAAAAAGACACGTTTACATCAGAACACCTACGGTGTATTCCGTGTCACAGGGTGGCTGGCCAGGAAGCTGGACATCCCAGTAGCACATTCCAAACCGTGGCTTCCTGTGAAGTTCTCCTCCGATGCCGACGTGGCCAGGCCAGGTCGTTCAGGCCTCTGCCTGCAGGGGAGGAATTTCAACCAAGAAGTGATGCCTAAGGTTTTGTTTTCCACAAAGGAAGTAAGGTGACAGTAGGCAGAATATGTAATACCGTTTCTTCATCACCACCAATAGTTGGATTTCTTTTTTTTTCTTAATAAATCAATGACCGGCCCTCGCTACGTGGGGCTTGGTTTTCATACAACGTGTTTGTGTGTGCACGGCCATTATTGGGCCACAGATCTAAGAACATAGATTGAAACCAAATTCTGGGTCCGTTTTACAAAGGAACAGGTCAGACACGGGGTGAGAGTAGAGGGGTCACGGGGTCACAAGTCCTAAGAGGAGGCCAGCGTAATAAGAAGCAATAGGTGGTCCAGCCGTGTAATAACACGCATGTGCCCAAGCCCCATAAATCCAATCCATCAGTAACGGCTCTACCTGGACACACAGCACCATAAGAATGTCCCTCTGAGGGCCCAGCACTTTGCTCCCTTGTTGAGAGCTATATATTCTGACAATAATACAGACTTGTATAAAGTAGGAAGTATTTTCAAAGTCATGCTTTGTTCAGAAGAGGGGAAAACCATAATAATGTTCTCAGAGGTGTTGTTACAGCATTGCTAGTAGGAAAAAAAATTAATTTAAAAAGCAGATTTAGCTCTCTCTCTCTTTTTTTTTTTTTTTTTTTTTTTTTTTTTTAACAGAGAGGATGAGAGAGGAATAGAGAGTTAGAAACACTGATGAAAGAGAAACATTGATCAGCCAGAAACCAAGGTACGTGCCCTTGACCGGAATCGAACCTGGGACTCTTCAGTTTGCAGTTTGACACTCTATCCACTGAGCTAAGCCGGTTAGGGCTGAATTCAGGCTTGATTACAAAGGACTGAAGTGAGACATTCTCTTTGGCCTGCCTCCCAGGAAGCCAGCCTCATCCCTTCACAACCAATGGGTTTCACAGGTCATGCTTCAACCCTGATTCCATGTTGGCAGGACTTCCAGTGAGACTGGGAGACCCACGAGGGCAGAAGCTAAGCCTGTGGTCTCGTAGCTATTACCCCAACTCCTGGCACAGGGCGCTGGCCAGGCACAGTCCTCAGGGAACAACGGCTGAGGGAATGAGGGAATGAGTGAATGAGTGAGTGAATGAATGAATGAAGCTACACCAGACACTCAATGATTGCCTAACAAACAATGTGCTTTCCAGACAGGCCCATCAGTAATGGAAATTGGGACCTCGCAGGAAAAAAAATCTGGTACAGGATAAAATCCCACAATCACAATCAGACACCAGAGAAACATTGGGCTCTGCTCTGAAAGATGAAAGAGTGGGCAAAATAGCTTAAATCAGACTCTCCTATTATTTATAACCAAGGCCTCAATTACTTTATAACCCACAGACGGGAATAACAAAATAGCTACCAGTTCTGATGATCTCACTAGGTGCCACAGCTTTGCACGCTGTCTCAGTTAAGCCTGGTAATGGCTCCAGGAGACAGAGAGAATCCTCAAAGGCGCTGAGTCAGAGGTGAGCATTCTTTCCGAGGTCACAGCAGTGAGTGGCACAGAACTTTCCATTGGGTCAGCCTGCAAGCAGCCCCCGCTCTGCTCACTGTTCCACGCTGCCTTCTAAGGGTACGAAGTATACTTGCAGATGCACACTGAGTCACTGAGTCACTTACCATGTTTCTATCGTCCCCAAAGGCTATACTATGCCATGGAGGATTCAGATATTGGTGGATGAGAATGGTCTCTGCCATAAAGGGACTTGGAATGTTGGATCTTAAAAATCCGCCCTAACGGGTTTGGCTCAGTGGATAGAGCGTCAGCCTGCAGACTAAGAAGATCCCAGGTTCGATTCCTATCAAAAGCATGTACATTGATTGCGGGCACATCCCCAGTAAGTGGTGTGCAGGAGGCAGATGATTGATGTTTTTCTCTCATCGATGTTTCTAACTCTCTATCCCTCTCCCTTCCTCTCTGTAAAAAAATCAATAAAATATATTTTTAAAGAATATTTAAAAAATCTCTTAAGATAGAATTCCTTCTATAGAGATGTGTGTCAATGGGTGAGAGGCAGTCTTTTATGCAATCCGGAAGATGTTTGCTTTAAAATAAAGACAGCTTGGTCTTGGATTAGACTATCTTTGGCCCACAACTTATAGTGAAGCCAGTGAAAGTTGATCATTTTTTTAAAGGGCAGTCCAATGGCATCCTAAGCATGGCTAACAGTTACATGTTATGAGTGAAGCTTTCATTGTATTCCACAAAGCCAACGTTTGTATTTCAGAAGTAAATCAATACAGACAAGATCGTCAAACAACCTTCTCCAACATCTTTATGAAAAGCATGACCAGCCTTTTATTAGTTCACTTCCATCCACTACTCAGCTTCTCTTTTTGCTTTATGAACGTTCCTCCCCCCTCCAAAAAAATGGCACCTACTGGTATTCATTCATTCCATATTGACTCCCATCTATTTACGGCTTCTTGTCATTAGTATACAGTTCAGTGCATGGATTAAAATCATTGTTTCCTTGCCGAAACTGGTTTGGCTCAGTGGATAGAGCATCAGTCTGCGGACTGAAGGGTCCCAGGTTCGATTCTGGTCAAGGGCATGTATATTGACTGCGGGCACATCCCCGGTGGGAGATGCGCAGGAGGCAGCTGGTCGATGTCTCTCTCTCATCGATGTTTCTAGCTCTCTATCCTTCTCCCTTCCTCTCTGTAAAAAAACCAATAAAATATATGTAAAAATAAAGAAAAGTAAAATAATAAAATAAAATCATTGCTTCCTCATGGTGAACATAACTAATCGATTTCTCCATTTTTGGACTACATTGTCAAGGAACCAAGGTGAACAATATCCAAAAACATCTAGCAAAATAACAAGAGGAGGAATGCTTGAAGGGTTTCCAATTCTGACCCACGTGACCTCAGCACTCAAGAACAACTCTTCTGCCTCTTCGGTCTTGCCCACCAGCTTCCAAAATCTCTCAATGAAGAACATTAGCCAGCATTTGTCGGTGGCAGTCACCTCAAGGGGCCTGAATCCCAGCACGAGAATGGAGAGAAGAGAAAATCATCTAAATTGTACTTAGAAAAGGCACAAAGAATCTCCGTCCCTGAACTTGATACCGGAGTTAAGTACATGGTCCACATTTTAGTGTTCCTCTCTCAAGGGATCAGCACTTTGCGTTTATTAAGATTTACATACGTTACCCAGTTTTTGAAACAATAACATAAAAAATAACTCTCATGGCTTTAAATAACCTATACATTTTAAAAACCAGAGGGTCAAAGAAGAGTATTTCTCTAGTGCAATCTGTATATTGCTGTGATTTGTATTTGGGGAGAGGGGGTGGACTTTTAGGCAAGATGAAAAAAAAAAAAGTGTTTCAATTTCTTGCACAACTCTGCCCTCTGTTGCAACTATCTTGAATTACTGGCTTTAACAGCAAGAACAGATGCTACAAAACAAAATAAGGAGCATACCGTGTGTGAATATGTGTTTGTGCACATGTGTATGATTATATTCTGCTCCACACAAATGAAAACACATAGAATTTGTAACTTGAAGACCCTATTTAATACATGGTACCCCAAAGTCATCATTTTCAGAATTTCTCCTTCCAAATGTTCCAGCATCTAAACGTCTACATTTTTCCACCTGTTGCATTTCAAATGATTACACTGAACATGTTTGACACAAGTATGTTCCTTGTTCCCCATCCGTGCCTTTGTACATGCTGTAGGCTACCCAGACCTGAGTACCCTCGTGCTTTCTGTCTGCCATCTTTGCTGTGGATCACCATTCTTGCACGGAGTGAATATTCACTGAGCATCTGTGTGTGAGACAGCATCCCAGGCTCATCAGGATAGCCAAGAAGGCTGCCTGCAGCCCTCAGCCTGCAGGAAGGCTTTGTACCAGAGTTACAGCGCCTCAAGTTGGAGAGCAAAAATGAAATCCAAGCCAAGGGAGAGAAAGCACGGAGGGTCTGAGACTTTTGTCCATCGTGGCTGTCTGAGCAAAGGGGCCTTCACCAAAATTATTATTGTTTTTAAAATTCATTATGCAAAAAAAAATCATTGTTTGGTATCTGAAAAATGGCAATTTGTCTTAATCTGCATTTCTTTGATTACTAGTGAAACAGAATATTATCTTTATTAACGATTTTTTTAAAAAATAGCAGCTTGCCCTAGCCAGTTTAGCTCAGTGGATAGCGCACCAGCTTGTAGACTGAAGGTACCCAGGTTTGATTCCA